CAGGTAAACATTCAAGAAGAGCTTTTATTCAGTTGGCGTGTCATGAATCACTAATGGAGCATTTATCTTATATGTGTTTGAACTTCTCATGGTTAATTCCCTTTAGCCGTATTAATATTATTTTAGTAGGTTTTTATGTTCCAAATGCTTAGAATGTTTCTTTGAAGTCATTAGGGACTGTGTTACAATGGCAGCCAGCATTTTATTAAAAAAGTTTGTTAATCATTTGCAATGATGGTGGGATTATGTGAACTAAGATCCTGAACTCTATTGATTGCAGGTGATGTTGAATCCTCCCAGTAATGAACCTCAAAAAGGTACTGAAGGCGATGGAAATTCCATGGATCTCAGTGAGCTTGACATTCGTCTTCCTATGCTGGTTTATGTCACTCGTGAAAAGCGACCTGGTTATGATCACAACAAGAAGGCAGGGGCCATGAATGCACTTGTTCGAGCCTCTGCGATCATGTCCAATGGTCCCTTCATTCTTAATCTTGATTGTGACCACTACATTTACAATTCCCTAGCATTGAGAGAAGGAATTTGCTTTATGATGGACCGCGATGGGGACCACATTTGTTATGTCCAGTTTCCTCAGAGGTTTGAAGGAATTGATCCATCTGATCGCTATGCCAATCACAACACTGTCTTCTTTGATGTTAACATGCGAGCTCTTGATGGAATTCAGGGTCCAGTATATGTTGGAACAGGATGCCTCTTTCGCCGCACTGCCCTTTATGGCTTTGAGCCACCTCAGTTGCAAGAAGACACTGATTGCTGCAGCTGCTGCTTTCCACGTCTTAAGAAACCTGCAACTGTTGCTTCTGCCCCTGATGTTGACCCTGAAGATATTCAGTTGAGGGAAGATGATGAAATGAATATTGCTCTTATTCCTAAGAAGTTTGGAAACTCCAGTTTACTTGTTGAGTCTGTCCGGGTGGCAGCAATTCAGGGCCAGCCCCTTGCAGATCATCCTTCTGTCAAATATGGACGACCACCTGGTGTTCTCACAATGCCTCGGGAGCCTCTTGATCCATCCACAATTGCAGAGGCAATCGATGTTATCTCATGTTGGTATGAAGACAAGACTGAATGGGGTCAAAGTGTAGGGTGGATTTATGGATCAGTAACAGAAGATGTGGTCACAGGGTATAGGATGCATAATCGTGGGTGGAGGTCTGTTTATTGTGTGACCAAAAGAGATGCTTTCCGTGGCACTGCTCCAATAAATCTCACTGATAGGCTTCACCAGGTTCTTCGCTGGGCCACTGGCTCTGTTGAGATATTCTTCTCACGCAACAATGCCCTACTAGGTAGCCCTAGACTTAAGCTTCTACAGAGGATTGCTTATCTTAATGTTGGCATATACCCTTTCACTTCCATATTCCTCATTGTTTACTGCTTCCTTCCGGCACTTTCCCTCTTTTCCGGTCAATTCATAGTTCAGACTCTCAACGTAACATTCCTTGTTTACCTCTTGGCCATCACCCTGACCCTTTGTGCTCTTGCGGTGCTAGAGATTAAGTGGTCTGGCATTGAACTTGAAGAGTGGTGGAGAAATGAGCAGTTTTGGTTGATTGGAGGCACAAGTGCTCATCTTGTTGCAGTGCTCCAGGGGCTATTAAAGGTGCTTGCCGGCATTGAAATATCATTCACCCTGACATCAAAATCAGCTGGTGATGATGTGGACGACGATTTTGCTGATCTCTACATCTTCAAGTGGACATCTCTCATGATACCCCCACTCACAATCATGATGGTTAACTTAATTGCCATAGCTTATGGAGTTTGCCGTACCATATATAGTACTGTACCTGAATGGAGTCATTTGCTTGGAGGTGTCTTCTTTAGTTTCTGGGTATTGGCTCATCTCTACCCCTTTGCAAAGGGTCTTATGGGAAGACGAGGGAAAACACCTACAGTCGTTTTTGTTTGGGCAGGCCTTATCTCAATATCTATTTCTCTACTCTGGGTGGCTATCAAGCCCCCATCAGGAAATTCTGATATTGGTGGGTCATTCCAGTTCCCATGATTTACAGGACTTTTGAGTCCTCGGAGCAAGGTTTGCACACCTAGTATACTCATTCTTTTAAAGTTAGAAATGTGATGTTAGAGATTAGATTCAATTAAATTCCATCCTATATGTACATCATTCCCTTCCCATGTATACTTGTCACTTTTTGTTGTTGATTTCTTTTTTTTTTTTTTATTTACTGATTGCTAGGATTCTTTGGCACCTTGCCTCGCTGCCAACTGAATTGAATCAAATCAGTGTACATACATTCATTTTTGAGACAAACATCCTTTGTTGGTGAATTATTTTCTGCAAAGTACCCATATATGTCTTTTACATAGAGCTTTAGATAAGCGAAAGAGATTGTATCTTCTTGAAGAGAAAGCTGATTTAAGGTTTTGGATATTAATCTCTTTCCAATTGGAATGGACATTTCCAGCTGCTAACAAGCTTTGTAGGTTAATGGATAGATCAGTGAAGTTCCTTTTGTTTTTGCCAAGACGCTAACCGGGACCAGTTCTTTGCATCCCTGCCATTTTAATTCTTCCATGTCATGCACCTTTGTGGCTTGCTTATGGAGGTGGGATTGGTTCGTAAGTCGTGCCATGACTCGTGCCGCCCCATTTCCAATTTGCTTCTGGTCAAACATATGTCGGTTTTTATAAGTCATATTATTTTTGCATGCATGTATTTAATGCCTTGCAAACAAAGTTCAACTTTTTTTTTTCCAACATAGACTCCTTTTAAATCTCTCATATGCTGGCTCCCAATCCAAACAATCTTGAATGGACCAAACCTAGCTGGACAGGCTTCACTATTGCTAATTGTAGTTAGACTGACACAGAAAATGTGTCTGTAAATTGAAAGACATGGGGTAAAGACGAGGGAAAAGAACATTACAGGTTGAGATGGTCGGTCTAGTACCTAACGATTTGAGTTAGGCACACTGCCAACTTTTTCTGAAAATCATTTCTTTGCAACTGATAAGCCTTTTAAGATTGCAGAGCTTTTATTGGAAAGAACCTTCCATTGTCTGGTCATTTAAGAAGCATCAGAAAGGGTAAAAGATGATCAATGTACTATTTCTGAGGAATCTATTCTATTCGGGATTAATTTTCAAGAGTTACACACTTTCATAAATAGCTTTCTTAAGATGGAAGCCATTGAAAATTTGTCCAAAGGATTGGTAAATGGTAACAGTACACGCCTAAAGCCTTTAGAAATTTCATGAGGCTGGTAATAGTTGAACAGCAAAATGTACCGTCTTACCTTTTCCAAGTCAAGTCTTTCATATTCATTTGATTTTGCATGTTCTGAACGATGATGTATAGTTGACTTCAACTAATCCGCAGAAGAGTCTTCGTATATGGCTAGGTTTAAACATCAAACTCCGCAAGTTACTTGGTGGGCGTGCAGAAATGATTACGTATTAACGAAATTATTAATTTAAATATGGATAAGATTAGCAAATAGGTTCTATGGTGTAGTGGTTAGCACTCTGGACTTTGAATCCAGCGACCTGGGTTCGACTCCCGGTAGGACCTTTTACCTTTTGTGCTTTATCTTTTGATGATTGCAACCAAAGTGCAATTTAATTTAGTTGCTTAGTTGTCACCTACAACATTTTATCTTTAAAAATGGGTTAGGTTTAAGAGTGGCGTATGTTTTAAGAAAGAAAAACAGCGAATATTGGTGGGAGTTTGGAAAGGGGAAGAACATATATGAAGATGGGGCCTTAAACAGTTGGATCACAACTTTCTATGCTCAACAATCATATGCTGTAAATGCAACAATGGCACCCTCAACCAAGAAAATGGGAAATTAATTCTGAAATAATTTCTCTTGATATATATGTTCAAATATTGTTCATTTCAATCACTGAACAAACATTTTTTATGGCAGCTATTTTTTATAGTTTTGGTTGGGGAATTGGTCATTGCATTCCAATATCTGCATACTTAAATAGAAAGACTATGTCAATCAAAACAAAATGAGAAAAATACTAGTTTAAATTGTTGTGTGAATTTCCATATGTGGATTTAAGGATTTCTGGGTTATTCTCAAACTTTTGGACAAATTTTAAATACTTATTCAATTATTTGTGACTTCAATAATGTCATTTTCTCCATGATTAGCCAATAAATAAAGCAAGGTGCTCTTTATTCATCCAATCCGATGGCTTTCCTTCTCAACCACATATCATAAATGAAATATTTGTATAATGTATTAGTTGCTTTTTTAAAGGAATTTAGCATTAGGGAAATTAGTATATTTTGTATATAACCCTCGTCCCTGAAAATGAAAATATGTTGCCAATTTGAATTTGGATAAAACAATATGCATAAATCTGATTTTCATTAGTTTTGCACCGCTTGACAATGGATTCTTTTTAATCTTTTTTACTCGGTGGTTGATACAAGATTTTTTTGAGTTGCTGTTAATGAATTTATCAATTTTATTAACGAAAAAGATGTTTGAAAATTTTTTTTTTAATTTTTTATTTTCAATATTTAAGCATATCCATTAACACCTTACTCAACATATAAATCCGTCTAATCCGTCTATGCTCTTAATTACCATAATTACAATTAGCAACACCAATTTTGGATTGTCATTTCCCTGTCCATATATTCCACACCCACGACCGTCATTTTCACAATAACGAATTGCCAACACAATTCTTTCCATAGAAGAAACCTCACAGAAAAAAATTAAGCATTTTTCCCCTTTGTGATTTGTGATGGGATTGCCACAAAATGACTAGCAATTATAGCATAAGCCACAAGGATGTTCTGATTCTTATGCTGGGAATTCATTTTCACATTGAGATATTCTAATATCGTATTCTCGTTTGGTCTAGATAGAGGAAACATAACCATTGAACAAGTCACAGAAGTGCATTTCCTTGATGGTGTTTAAACTTTTTGGCCATGCCTTGAATTCCAAGCACCAATTTTAAGAGAGAAGGCTAAAAAAATCAACCATGTTGATGAAATTTGGTTCCGTCGTTAATAAAAGAATCGTTCAACTAGAAGACAAGTTCCAAATTATTCCTCGGACTAAATGGTAAGTCAAAGGAAAAACCTGCCAAAACTCAATTATTTGGCACTCTATATATTTCTATACACATAATGTGATTGTAAACTTATAATAATAACAAGATTGAAGACCATGACAATTTTAATTTAGAAACTCAAATTTATTTCACATATCGGTCTGTTCATTGGAGATGGAAGCACCTCGTGATCTTCTCTTCCGACGTGCTCTTGTGATCCTCACTTGCTTTCTATGGCTTCCACCAAATTTCAATCTTCCGGTGTCTTGGAACCTTTGCCTTTCGGTTGGATCAATTACACATTCAGGAGGTGTTACAGGATAACGCAATGTGTCATAACAGTAAGAATAATACATGTAATGCTGCCTAAATTTACGCATGGCAGCTCGCCTTGCTGGTGTTATGACGGCATAGTCATGGCTCTCGAGCCAGGTATCTGTCACCGAGCAGGCAGCCGCGTCGGGCAGTTCCTGGATAGGATCCATAGCGCAACCGTCGAGGACTAGCTCTTTAAACTCGGAAATGAATGGGGCATACCTATAATCAACTTTATTTTTGCCTCCGTTTGTGGCCCAGCTAGAGGCATCCCAAATAGTGGCATACAAAGACATTGGCTTTGATGGGTAGTCTCCACCCATTTCATCATTGCGCACCACTTCTCTGATTGGAACTTCATCCACATAAAAACTGAACAAATTCAACACAAAAATGAGAAGTTGGGATAGGATTCGTTAGGTAGAATTATGGCTTTTTATCTTTGGGGGGATTAGCTTTTAAGAATCTAAAGGCTTCTTCGTTTGGTAGCCTAACTAATATTTGCTTTCCAGAAGGTATATTCCTATTAAAAATATTATAGTAATTCTACTTAATTATGCAATTGATCATTATTAAATCATCCTTGAATTATAAGAGAAAACCAATAAAATTAGGCCATTTAGTTTTATATAAGGCTAAATTTGCCAAATAGGGTATCCTCCAGCAACCTAGCCTAAAAAGCAGCAGCCTAAAATCATCTTCTTCTCTTTTTTTTTAAGGCAATGCTCCGATCCACATGCTCTACAAACATCGCACAAGCAATCCCAACCTCTATCCCCTCTTTGCTCTTTTCTCTTTTTTTCCCTTTAGTAAGGTCAAAAACATTCAACAAAAGTAAGGGACAATATTGTAACCATGGCACAACAAGTTTTTAGACTAATTTTACATCCAAAAAGGAATAGGACAACATAGAGAGAATTAAGGTTTTTAAGACAACTCACATGATGTTCTTGGCTGTCCAGAGAATGCTGTATCTGTGAAATTCTTTTGATGGATCAAACCAAAGTCTGTAGCGTTCCTCTCGGCCTCGGTTTGTGCTACCATTGCCATACAAATTTGTCTGGAATCTCCATGGCTTACCTTCAATATTTCCTAAAAACTCAATGTCTAATTCATCATGGGTTTTCTGGTATACATCACCGTTTGATGTCTGCATTGACCATGGAAAAAAAGAAGAATACCATCAGCCGCCATGATTGTAATTATGGGCACTATTTTTGTATTTGTTTTCACATTTAATTCATTGAATTTTCCGTTCTTTGTATCAAAAATTCTTTTCAGACGATGCATATTTTCAAAGGGTTTGGTGGAGGGAAGGTAACAAAATTTCGAGATTAATGATCATGATCATAAGAAACTTACATAGAAGGCAACCACTATTCCCGCAGTATAATCTGATGGCAACTTGATTTTGGCACTGAAAAATCCATGTTGATACATACTGGATGAAATAAAACCAGACCCTGAAAATTTCACCAAAGCAAATTCATCAATACCAAAAACTACTACTACTACAAAAAAGTTTGCATGGCATGATGAATTAAAATATATATTCTTCATTATTAACCATTCGTTACCTGTATAAACGTCAAGGAGGAGACGGACGCTATGGCCATCAGGTGAGCGAACAAGGTTGCCATCACCGAATAGAGGGCTGTATCCTTCATCAAAGGAGAGGATGGAGAGGTTGAAAGCAGCAGTACTGAAGCCGAAAAACCAAGAGAAGAAGAAGAAGAAAAGGAGGGAGAAGAAGGGTGCTAACTTCTCTGATTGTAAACGACCCATGATCATTTCTTCAGTATTTGTTTTTCTTATGGGTCTCCTGTTTTATTTCTTTTCGTTTTCTTTTTGTTCCCCGTCTCTGATCAACCCTTTGCTTTCCGTGTACGTCTGTATATTTATACACACCACTAGAGAAAAGGAGAGTTTTCTTTGGCTTGGGATGAGAATGGTCATTGGCTGCTATATATATTCACCGTGCTGACTATAATACCCTTGTTTAGTTGGGATATATTCAATTAAAGATATTAAGCTTCAGCTTGGTCTCTCATAATAGGAAATCACACTTTGCAAAGTGATTACTCAAAAGGGATTCTTTCATTACTTGTTTAAAAATCTGTGGGTCTTTCTATATTGTTTTAGAAAATTAATTAAGATTTTTCAGATTAATTTTGATGCTATTTTTACTTTTGATGAGTTAGTAATTACTATAAAATTAAATATATATATCCTATATAATAATACAATAACAAGTAAAGTTGGTTTTTTATATATTGATCGCATAATTTTTTTTTTAAATTTTGTAAGTGAAATTAAGAATTTATTTCATATCTCATTTTTTATTTTTTAATATATTTTAAAAACATGTATAATCAGTAATCTTATTAAAGACAATTCTCTAAAAAAATAAGATAATTTCTCATATAGATAAAATAGGGTAGTAGGTGAGTAGGAGCTGTTTTTTTGAGTTGTGGAGTTGCTAAGGAGGAAGGAATTTCTTCTAATGGAAGTCTGAGAAAAGTGACAACTAAGATGATGTGGAGATGAACATATATATATATTATGCAAAACACCAAAAGCAGCAGTTACATTAAACAACACACCTGGACTTGGTATGTATGTAATATCTTATCTGTTAATTATAATGCCCGCATAATGAAATAATTAACATTACATAACTGCTGTCCTACCCACTTTTTTTATTTATTTATATATAGTAAAATAATTAAGAACGTATTTATAAAACAAATTGTTGTTTATACTACAGAGAATTTTTGGCACTGTGCTGTACTGTACAAAACTGCAACAAACAAGCAAAAACATGGGTGAGAAAGAAAAATGATGTCAAGAATAGGGAAACTTTTTTTTTGGCACATAAATTTTATAATGAATTATGGTTATATTCATTGAATATAAATTTGAAACAAACTTATAATTTTGTCAAATGATATACATATAAATGTTAAAAATTAAATTTTAATCATTGAAATTATTATCAACGAATCACCTAGTGAAAACAAGAGAGGGCCAAAGTTTGTTTTCAATTCATATCCTCATTATTATTTCCCTAGCTAAGGTCCAATCCGTGATCAAACAACCATACATAATTAAACCTGTGGTTTTCATTAGCAGAAAGAAGTCAAGAAATGACCTCATTTTTTTTTTTTTTTATGATTAGGGGCTCTCAATAATTAAATACTCGAAAGGGACCTTCATAATTCTTAATTAATTAATAAGTGTAAGCTTTAGGTTAGACCTTTCCAGAGTGATCATAGTAATTTGCCCATTTTCAAGAAGTTGACCAACCATAAACCTACTGACTGCCTAAGGATAAAAATAATGTCACGTCTTTTTTTGTAAGCAAGCATGTAATATGGATGTTGATTTGATTTAATTGTTAATAAATAGTCAATCAAAATATTAAATCAATTAAAGAGGTTTTGGTAAAACAATTGATATTAGGTGAATGTAACTGTATATAAAATATTAGAAAAAAAATGTCAATATTCGCATAATTAATTAATAAAATATTAAAAATTTAATTTTATTCGTCAAAATTTAAATTTTGATAATTTTAAATAAAAGAATTTAAGAAAAAGATAAATTATTGTAATTTTGCGGTGGGATTCGGGGCATTGTAGGGAAAGTAAAAAATCTTCTCCGCTTAAAGAATGCGTTCTAGACTGATGGCGGCGTTCTACGTGTCACGCTGTCGTTTTATGACCGCTTGTTTTTCCTATCATTCTCTTCTTATTACATCCTTTTGGTCCGAGATTGAAACACAAACATACATATTCATATGCGTATAATTGTTCCAATGGCATGCCATCATTTTTTTTTTCTGTTGAAAAAAGGCACTTTTTGGAATCTTTCTCGTTCATTCACATGAAAAATACATACGCATTATTAAGTTATCAACACTAAAATGTTACCCTCGAACCAATGGTCAATTCATTATGGGAACCTCCCAACCATGTGAGTGTATTCAAAGTTGTTCATAGCGGTCTAGGGAAAGGGATTGAGACCTATGAGACTTTGGCCTAAACCATATTATCTGATTTTTAATTGACAAATTATAATGCAATTAGAAAGAAATTTTACATGGATTGAATGTTAACGAGATACCGACAGTAGTATAAGAAAGTGCTGAACCTCCATCTTCAAGTTTATACTTCATGAGTTTCCCCACTTTGGACCATCAATTTGAGTGGCAAAAGCACAAAATACAAGACTTTGAACTTTCTGAATCAAGACAGCTCTGCAAATAAAGTCAAAATACTATGTTGTTCTAACAATGTGAGGTTTTTTTTTAGGTATTGTCTACTTTTTCCTAACTTTTACAAACTTACAATGTAATATTCCATCAAAACCAGCATGGAGTAGAAGAACTTTTCATCATTCATCACAATTTACATAGCTGCAATGAGCATCGGATCATCTGATAGCAATTGCAAAGATGCTGGTTAGCTCTTAAGAAAATGATACTTTGATTCAACATAGCTCTCGGCATCCCATAGAAACGAACCAAATGCAACTGCTTCCAAGACTAGCATTGTCAACCCAGTGAAAGTGATGGAAACTACTTCATCATTTGATGTATCAATTGAACCATCGTCAAGGATCCGAATGTCAGGCCTCCCAAATAGTGCTTGTGTCTGCTTTTCAATCAAAGAAATAGCTTCTTTGGATCTTATGGTTGCATATCTCTGAAGTGTCTCAGAATCCAAATACATAACATAGGATCTCAGTCTATATGACTTTCCTTCAACGTCCATGTATCCTCCTCCATCACCATCATCATCATCATAGGGTGGGTTCCCAATCAATGAAGCTGGATCCCAGAGCTGCTTCTCTGGATTTGGATCCTTATATCTTTCTTGGTCTTTATTGAAATCCCCAGGAAGGGTTTTCATTGTTCTCTCAAGTTGAAACCGTTGATCAACTCTTCTAAGGAAATATCCATACATTATAGAAGCAGCATAGAGCTTTCCAAGTTTGATCTTGCTAATTTGAACAATGGTACTGAGGGGACCAACCACTCGGTCTCCGAGTACAAGGGATAAGTGGTTTTGTATCATCTCAAATGCTTCAGGAGAATGAACAGATTCCAGTTTCTCTTCCTGGTTTGGCCAAAAGTCCACTCGTCCAGTAGGGTCTGAAGTTGCCATTATCTTAGGAATCATTGAAATCTCATTGTCAACGAATTTCTGTACAATCAAGCAGTATATTATTTCCTCCAATGTTCTTCGTCTCTCCTTTTCTTTAACTTCAGCTATTCTCCTAAAATTCAATAGGTTCAGTTCTATCGGTAATTTTGTAATAGACTAATAGCAAACAAACAATATAGTAAGCACTAGTTGAAACTTGAAATAATGTAAATCAAACACCTATAATTAAGAAATAACTTAGCATAAACATCACTGATTCTCTGCTAAATGCTATTATCCTGTTAATTTACAAACTCACATGCATGTGTTCACACATCTAACAGTTAAATATGTGATAGTATTTCTCAACTGAAACAACTTCACAATAAAAGGAACTAACAAGGAAAGAGACAAGACTTACTTGTAAAGGAGATCTTGAGATGGTGGAGTTTCTTCTTTCTGGTCATCTTTATCGCTCTGAAGGTTCTCCAGCTGTTGATCAATGGCCGCAGGCAGTAAATGTGGATGAGTTCTCAATATTTGTGACAAAAGCTGGCCAACTGGAGATTCAAATGGTACAGGAGCAATTGGTGACAAATTATCATCTGACTCCGCTGATGCTCTCATAGTTACGCATCTTGCTCGGCACTTATCTGGTGCCATTCCTAGCTTTGGAATGCAAATTGAAGGATATCTCTAGAAAAGAAATGATTCTGTGAGAGCTAAGTAGACAACAGAAAGTATCAGAGACGGAAGATTCTATTTATAGGCCCAGAGCTCAAAGCCTCCAGGCATGACTACATAACGTACAGCTTTTTCTAAAACATGCATGCTGTAGGAGTGAGTATTTTGAAACATGTGATGTATGCTCAACCATGGACTTTTACTCAAATTGAAATCTACATTAACAAGAGATGATAGTCTTAATGACATTGCTTATAAATACTCAATATTTCCAATCAGAATTCACCATGATTTAATTTTCAAAACTGAAATTATACACTAACAGAATAATGGTTAGCCATTTCAGACTGCCAGACAATAAAAGATATCTCGGGCAACCAGGGCATCAAGTCAAAAGTATGAAGATCCAGAGGCCGTCTCCACTCAAGGATTATTTAAACTACTTAACCTAGCTGTTCTTGAATAATTAACAAAAGCAAACTGCTACTAAGTTTTCCATATCTATTTCTTTAAGTTTCGCAGAGTCACAGACCAAAGTGATGTTCTAGCATTTCATATTTTAATTTTTCATTAAAGTATCCGACTGGATGAAGTTATCATAGTAGCAATTAGGAACAAAGATTAAGCAGTTGCTAGTGGACTGCATCCAATGGCAAGAGAAAATTCCAACAGGTTTCTAATAACTAGCAAACAAGCTGGAATTTGCAACTATTAAACTAACACTAGTATCAAGAAAGAAGAAGACAAGGAGAAACCATGAAACTAATCAGCAACTTAGTATCCACTATGTAATTAGTACCAACTTTTATGTTCTCTATGTCACAAAGAATAATTATTCCAAGGGACAAACAAAAGCAGACAATTACAAATAAACTTTCAATACCAAGTTGGAGTTTTGCCCTGAAATCGGACACAACCCAAAACAAAAAAAAATGGTTTTTTTTTTAAAAGAGACTTCTGTGCTCCAAAGAAAAACCCAAAATTTAAAATTTTGCCCTGAATTCTAAAATAAAAGAAATAAGTAAAGACAGAATTTGATGCAAGGGCAACACACATATAAATATGAATAAAAAAAAGGAAAAGGAAAAGAAAAAGAAAAGGGACATACTTTGAAGAAAGAAGAAGAAAGGAAGAAGTGGCTGGAATGGAAGTGTCTGAAACTGGGGGTTCCAGCTGAAGGGATTGCTACCAACCCCTCACTTGTTACTCCTGATATCTGCATTTCTCACTTGTTAATTTTTTCTTTTGATAACCAAAAACCAGAGTTCTCAAGTTGAAGAGGAAAGCAGGGTTAAGGAGATTCCTGATAATGGTGAATACTGTAAGATGGCATGTGGTGGTTGTTAAAGCTAGTTTCTTTCAGGACTTCTCTCTCCTTTTTTTTGTTTCTGATTTGTCTTTCTATGAATATTCTATGAATTAAAATTTCTAAAATAAAAAATTCATATCTATTTTTTTTTTCAAAAAACTATATATTCAATGAAATTTATAATTTTTTACAATTAATAAAAAATATTACTTTCATTAAGGTGTCAATGGAAATAGTTACGTTTTGACTATAAATAGTATATTAAAATATTAAACAGTAATTTTAGTTTTAAATGTAATTTGCTTTCTCCTATAAAAGAACTGAATGTAAAAGTATGTATAATTTTTTTTCCTTTTTTTTCATGAATTATAAAAAAACTGAATTCTAATTTGAGTAGTTACACATTGAATTTTATAAATTTTTGTAAAAAAAAAAATCGAATTCATTTTATAAATGTGATTGGAATGGGCTTTAATAAAAGAAAGCCCAGAACTAAAATCGGAACGCTGCTGCCTTATTTGAGAGAAGCAATGAACGCTGATTCATTTTAAAAGTGTAAAGCCCTGGTCTGTCTCACTCCGTTGGTCACAGTCGTTGCACGGCCGCCGCTGCTGTCTACGTATTCGGAAAACGCTAAAGTTAAAGTCAGATCTTTTCTTATTTTTCAAAGTCAATTAATTTCTCTTTTCTTTTTTTAGTTTGTTTTAAGTTGATAAATGAAGTTGTCCAGTTCTCATTTTAGTTCAAAGATTATTGCTTGTTACTCGCCAACTTTACTAATTTCCATGTTTATCAATCTACTACTTTTCATGTTTATCAATCTGGGTTTTGCTTAAATTTCATCTGAAGAAGTGTCTTAATTTATTATGATGTGCTTGGTTTTGTTTGCTTTAATGTTTCAATTGATTCTTTTGTTGTTCTTGAATTTCAATTGCTGTTAAATTGAATAAGTTACTATCAATCTTAGTGCTCTAAATTGTAATCATTCCTCAGGTGCATTCTAAGGACTTCTAAAAAATTGAAGTTAGGACAGAATAAGCAAAGAGGAGGATTTTGTGGCCAAATAGCATTAGATCACATTGAAGAAGGGTTGATAGATGGCGTTGAGGCGTCTCCTAGGCTGGTCAGATGGTGAATTGATGAGATCGGATGCAAAGCCTTGTTCCAGATTAATGAGACAGACAGCTGGAATTTTCACTGTTGGAGGAGCTTTGGGATTTTGGGTTCTCTGTAGATTACATTATGGTCTGTTGTTCTCTTTTACTAGCTTATAAAAAGATTTTGTTCTTTCCCTCAATCTAATATGAGGTAAAAGATTCTAACATTTCATACTGTGGGTTTTATGTCGACTACAAAATTAATGGTTCTATGTTAATGCAGGCCCCAGGATTACAGTTCCTAGAAGTCTACGTTGGGCAGCCTGTGGAGCTGTTTCTGTAAGCTCAACATCTGCTTTGTTGGTTCGCCTATTCAGTCCTGAATGTGAACCCCAAAATATAGCTGCTTACGACAAGGGAAAGTAGCTCTAGGGTTCCTCACGCCTTGTCAAATTTCATGGCTGGTTTCATTAATTGACCAGTGTGGTGACAGTGTCCTTTGTTTTGTCTCTGTGATCTTTGCCGTGCCGATTGTTTATCAATTTTCCAGTAAGACATGGTGCACAAGCATCGTAGAGGGTGCTTTTTTCTGTTTTTTGTGCCATTTGCTGTAATAAGATATATCTACTGAACAGAGGAAAATATATCAGTTGAAATGGAGGGGATTCAAACTAAGATCCTGATCTCTTTAAATTTACGTTGATTTGCAGAGGGGAAGCGCCAATCCATGCATATCATAGCTAGATTCAGTTATGCAGAGGAATCCCTGTGAAACTTATTAACTTATTTAGTATAACCTAATGGCTCTTGGACATACGTTTGATGTTTCTACTTTAAAGATTTGGCATGTTGGTTACAACCTCAATTTTGTAACAGACATTGATATTGATCGTGTTGTGTTGGTTGATCACTTGAATCTGACGCAAAAACGGCATTGCTCATGGTAAGAAACATACACCATAAAAGAAAGGATACGAGCACAACAAATCCAATGCAATTGGGGGGAATAAATAAATGTGGTAAACCAAATAACTTCCAGTACCTAACTATTAAAATGAATCAGCGTTCATTACTTCTCTCAATCACACATTCATCAATCATATTTTAACATAAACAAGCTCGAAAAGTTAAAACTGTGCATACTATCCTTCTTTCAACAAAGAGAAAGGTATCACATAATATCAGTCTACATACCATCCTACGGCTTTGAGACAAGCCAGGCGATGGATTATAAGGGATATGGGAACCTAAAAACTATCAAGGTCAGCTTTGATAAAATTTAAACATGCTATGAAGAATAAAAACTTTCTGTAGCTAATTTGGTTAGGTTATGCCCCTGGAAAGAGGCATGAAACAGGGTGTATAAATCCTAGTGACTACCCTGCACAAGCTCTGTTTGTTCATCATTATTTGTATGCTGGTCATTCCTACCAGACTTCAGATCCTCGTGCCCAGGAATTTCTCCTAGCCTCTCCTGCAATATTGTAACTAACATTAGGAAGCAATTTTATTCAAACAGGTAAGTGGATGACGGGAAGAGGCAGTTCAAAGAATGGAAACATACTATCAAGTTTAATATTTTGCAAAACAAACCAAGGGCAGAACATGACCTTGAGAGAGGTATTCTCTGCAAGAAGCTGCTCATACTCGCTCTTGATACGGCTCATTTCTGATCTAAGATTGACATTCTCTTCTTTTAAAGCTTCAGCATGCTGAGCCAGTTCATCGCATTCCACCTGATTCAACAGCAAGCATTTATACAAATAAGTCATATGTGGCTTTTAAAATGGAAGATAACCTTAACAAGACCTGCAATTTCTGAAGGATACTTCATTACCTGTTTACGCAACCTGGATCTGCGAGCAGACTCTCTGTTTGATTGCTTCCTTCTCTGTCTTTTAAGCTCCCTTTCATCCTAAACCCATAAAACCAGAAATAGTGCCAGTTACATACAAAATAATAAAAAAAAAGGGCAACAAAAAACACATTTTACAACAGCAGCAAGGAATGTATGTGACAGTTGATTGGAGGAGAAAAACCTTGATTAAAAATCCAGTAAGTTTAGTTTGAAATTTAACATTTCACCTAATAAGGGTATACAACCACAGCAAACATAAAGATATTGACTCCAAGGAGATCTTGAATTTAACCATATTGTTTAGAGAGAGAAAGAGAGAGAACCTGTAACCATAGCTGTGACTGAACACTGTCCCGAGATGCAGGAGTTACTATCCCTCCAGCAACTGGAGTTGAAGGAACCTTTCCACGGATTGCAGGAATGGTAGATGAAGCTGGACTCCCCCAGTAGTCCATCCCAATATGCAAGTTTGTTGTGGGACCAGGAACAGCTGTGGCAGCCCCAGCAGTTGATATAGGTACAATAGGAATTGCTGTATTTACCATTGTATTTGGAACTCCATTCTGAGGACCATTTGCTGAGCTTCCATTCTGTGATGCTTCAACTGTAACAGAGACATTGTAGACATTCCTCAGAACACATAGCAAATGGCAATAAAATAAGGCCAAAAGATTATGTTATGACATTATCACTGTCTAACCTTCTCCATAATCTTGTCTTCCTGCAGACTTCAATTGTGAATCCTACAAATAAGGAAGATAATAAGATTTTATAGTATAACCTTGACCTGGAAATAATAAAGGGGCAATACATGTTAATGCATGACTTTGGATAAAAAATGAAGCATCAAAAGTTTTCTCATCATCAGAAGACTTCCAAGAGAGCGGCAACTGATGGGAAGTTGTAATGGAGATTATTTCGAATATAGCTTTAGCATTTATTCAATATAATTTATGGAAAAAGGAAGATGCAACCAAGGAAATCCCTTATCTTAGGGTTTTAGAAACCCTGGTCCCAGCGCCACACCATTTAAATATCTGAGAAAGTATTTTTTCTTCATCAGTCCGTGGAAAATGCTCAGTTGCAGAGTAAGTTCGCATACAATATAAAAATTTTTTATACAGTTCATCAAAAACAACTTGTCGAAGATGATTGCCTTGTCTAGGCAGTGAACACAGTTAAACTGCATGCTATTTAATAAAAGCAAAGATTGATTCAAGCCAAGTCTGGTGAATTAAAACATCAATGTTTGCAGCCCCTTCAAAACCCCAACTATTCATATCCAGAGTGTAGGGTGAAATAATAGCTATGGGCATTATTAATTCATGAAATTGTAAGTCCTGCCTTGGAATCTGCCATTTTGGCAGGGTGTTCACACTCTCCAAGATAGATGAAATAATGAAGCAAATTCAAAATAATAAACTAATAAAATGAAAAGGCAAGAGGCATTGCACTCACGTTCTGGGAGATTGCATCACTGCCATCACTTGTACCTTCACTTCCACTCTCAGCACTACAAATACACAATTATTCCACGGTCAGCTAAATTACCTAGAAAGATCATTTTGATAGCAAACACAAGCAATTAGCAAATAGTGTATGCTTAGATGAGTTGATGCCATCTAAAAGTCCAGATATGACTTCTGAGTAGCAACCAAAAGACTCAAAGCAAGGAAGGAAAATAAATGTCTACTCAATCATCTTAATTTAGGAGCTTTTCAAGCCACAAAACAAACTGAACAATTAAATAAGTCGTATTATAGAAGTTCAGGAAAAAAAAAAGACTTTTACAAACACTTTTCAAAGCTTTGTAAAACTTTGTACAACTTAAATAAGGAGAGAAGCACGGGAGGTTTATTCAAGGATGGAGGTAAAGGAGAGAGCTTCTTCAATAAAGGTCCTATTGACTTCTCAATGAAACCCAATTGTAACTGCTTTGTTTAATAGGCTCTTTTCTATATTACTCAATTCTATTAAAATTTCTCAATAAGACTAGATATGTATGTCAAGAGTAGCCCCCTTTCCCCCCTCCAATTGCAATTGACCTGAGAAATAGTCCTTGTAACTAACAATAGCATAGACTTGCAACCAAAAACTATGTAATAACTGGAAAGATCATGTCTTTTCTGCCATACCTTTTAGAATAAACTCCATTAGCAGAAGCTCCTGATGCTTTACCAAGATTATCGTTCTTTCCAGTAATCATGTTCAAACTGCCTAAACTCCCTTTTGATCTTTTAATTGGCAATTTTTCCTTGACATCAGAAGGCTTACCATCCACTTCCATGCTTCCAGGAGTATTTCCCTAGATAAAATCTCAAGAGTCAGTCTCTTGAAAGCTTGGACATAAAAACATGTCTTTGAAAAAATAAATAATAAGACAGAGTAACATAAAGTGCTCACAGAAGCCTCAACAATGATATTTGGGGAAGGCATAGCAAAAGGACTAAAAGGATAAGATCCCTGTCCAAGATTAAACCATGTCATAAAGATGGCTCCAAATCTTGAACTAGTGTGGCTATAGCAACAAAACTAAGAATGGTGAAAGGAACATACTGGAGGAATGGATGGATGCGCATATATCCCACCATGAGGATACATTGCAACGTAAGGATGTGGTGGGGTACCATAGGGAGGCATCATATGCTGCAACAAGGAAAGAATTATGTTAAAGCTTTACCGACCAGCAAATGAAATCATTAAACCTTAATAGTTAATCATGCCACCAAATTTTAAAGCTCTAACAAATCAAATCAGAATTTCAACAATCATAATAATGCACCATGCCACCATCCTACAATACCAATGCAAAATCATAAATACCTGAACCCCCCACATATATGGGGGAGCTTGAGGACTTGATGCCAAGAACCCATGTGAAGGAATGGGAGAATATGTCTGTTAGCAAACAAAAATCCACATATAATAATTCAAATTCCACATGAAAACTGAATAAAAAGCATAGAAACTAAAGATATTCATCTAACAAACCTGAAATCCTGACCAATCTGCATTTACTGCACCCGAATTAGTGGTCGAGGATGGCTCCTGAGCAACAAAAAAAGAATTAAAAAGAACAGGACAAAAATCCTTACAAGAACAACTTTAAAAACAACATAAACTTCAAAATTTTCAAACAATAATAAAAGTATACCTGCACACTAGTAGATGGTGGTGTCTTTGGCTCCTTTTTTTTTGCAGTTTTATCCATCTCACTGCTGCCCATTACTCTGAAAGCCCCTCAAACCATCCTACAAATACAATAAATACTTCCATCAACAATATGCACTTTTCTCCCACTTTCTTCCTTCAAAACGGTCCAATTTATCTAAGTCTATACTATTTTTAGAAAAAAAAAAAGGAATATCAACACAAAATAAACAATAACTTTAACATTTAAAAAAATCCCTTAAAATACATACACTTGTTGCATTAGCCTCAATAAAAAAAAAAATTCCCATTCACATCACAAACAATTTAAAAGCTAAAAAATAATTAAAACCATTAAAGTTCCAATATCCTCTCCTCTTTTTACTATATTTTCTCAGTAACCAAACAAATAACACTAAAGAGAAAGAAGTAACATGAATCCAGAGAAAGAACTAATTAAAAACAAAGTACTTAAATAAATTTTAAGGCATGCAAATGAAGCTTGTGACTAATTTACAAAGTCAAGAAACAAACAAAGTAAAAAAATTAATAAAACTGAATTACCGCTCAAAAAAACACAAATTTAAATGAAACCCAAGTCTGATCCACTGAATAGAAGCAAAATTTAAGGAGCTTCAGAGCTTGAAATTGAGTGAAGAGTTTTTTTTTTATTTTTTTTATTTTGATGGGTAGGGAAGAAGGGCATAGATGTCAATTTCGGGGAAAGATTAAGGCACGATTGGGAGACAATAAATTCTCATTCGCCCAGGTTTCTCCGGGGGAAAGATCAGTTGTTTGATATTAGGGTTTGTTAATTGTATTTTGGGGATGGGAGAGGGAGGAAAATTCACGGAGTAGATTCTATGACTCGTCGTACGGTAGTCGATTTCTCCTTTCTATTTTTCATGACCTTGCGAAATCTCCTTTTTCTCCTTCAATCAGTTACCGTTTTCAATATACGGGAAATCGGGAATTATATATTTTTTTAAGTCCACATGTTAAATTGCATCATACAAACGTCATTTATTTAAATTATGTAATTGCAAAAAAAAAACTATTGTGCGTTATTTTTTATACAAACGAAATCTTAATTTAAAAATAAAATACTACAAATATTGAGTCTTAAAACTTAAATTTATTAAATCTCATTTATATTTTTCTTTCTTCGTTTTCCTATAATAATGATTACTTAGTGTGAATAAATAAATCTTTTCTCATTAATTTCATTGTAAGCTTGTCTGAAATCCAGGTGTCCCTTTTTTTTTTCAAGACTGCTAATTTAGAATAGAATTTTTTTAAAATTTAGATATTAGGTGGATTTTTTTTTAATTAGAGTCAAGTTTTAAGTTTTATCGTCCAAACTTGATCCAGGTATATATAAAATTTATATTTTTATTATTTATTGAATTTTATATTTATATATTATATTAATAAATTATTATTTAATATTTTTAATTTAAGATAAAAATTTAATATAAATATTATATTAAATTAAAATTATTAAATTAATTTCAAATCAAATAATTATAAATTATAAATAGACACATTTAGTTAAATAATAAAGAATATTTTAATATCAAATCAAATGTGAATGTTAAGAGATCGTTTCGAAATTAAATCAAGAAAAAGCCCACCCTAATATAACTTGTTATCATCTCCAGTACAATGTAATATAAGATTATTATAATAAATTTTAACATATCTATGAAAATAAATTAGTTTGAGATTTAAACTTAATTGACAAATCTTATACTAAAAGTTACGAGTTCGATTCATTAACGTGAATGGATTAAGTAGAATAATGTAAAAAAAAGTACAATTAAATTGAATTAAAAGCATTTCCAGAGAGAAAGGTTGAATTAAAATCAACCTCAAGCACGAGAGAAACAGAAATAATAGGTATATTTTAATTTGTATTACAAATGTGTACCGTACTATCATTTGAAATAACGGGAGTTAATGAAGTAACATGATTTTCAAGTCCATTTCTTTAATTTTGGTGCAAAGTAATTATAAAATTATTTTATATATGAAATTATCAAATTTAAATACTAATCACTAAAAATTCAATATTTTATAAAAAAATGGTACAACTTTTCACAATCTAAATTTAAATTTAAGTTAAATTGAATTTAAAATTACAAGCCTAGTCAAGATTGAGCAATTTATGAGAAAAAAATTGGCTAAGAAAACAGGAAAAAAGAAAAATTATAAAAAAAGAAAAGAAAAAAGGGGCATTCAATATCCTTGCATAAATCTCAAACTGACCAAAGAAACAAGCCGAAACCCTGAAGCATCCAAAACCTACAAGAATCCTCTTTACGACTGTTCGTTCTTTTTTTTTTTTTTTTTTCTTGTCTTTCAATCTACTTATCTAAGAAATGGCTTCCGACCCAGATGCGAAGCAAGAAGCGGAACGTCTGAAAGCAGTAGCAGAAACCAAATACAACAATTCAAACCTGAAATCAGCATTGAAACATGCCAAGAAAGCCCACCGTCTTTGTCCAAATCTCGAAGGCATCTCCTCAATGCTCACTGCCTTTCAAATACTTCGGGTGGCTTCCAAAGGCAACGCTGCTCCAGACTGGTACAAAATTCTCCAGGTAGAACCTTTTTCCCACATAAACTCAATCAAGAAACAGTATAGAAAACTAGCATTGATTTTGCACCCCGATAAGAACCCATATTTAGGATGTGAAGAAGCGTTTAAACTTGTGGGTGAAGGGTTTAGGATATTTTCTGATAAGATAAGGAGGCAAGAATATGATATGAAGCTTAGGATTAGGATTCAGGAGGAAAGGGTTGATGGGTTGGAAGGGAATGACTTAGTAGGTGAGACGTTTTGGACTGCCTGTTCGCGGTGTAGGTTGTTGCATAAGTTTGAAAGGAAGTATTTGGGGCACAATTTGGTCTGCCCTAGTTGCAAGAAGAGCTTTTTGGCTGTGGAGGTTGATGGAGAAGGTGGTGAGGCTGAAAGTACGGAGGAAGAGGAGGTGGTGGCTGCGGTTAGAGTGAGTGAGAGGATGAAGAGAAAGATGGGTTCGAAGGAGAACACGGATAGCCCTAAAGGTGTACGATTGGACGGGGAAAAAGGTAGTGGTGAGAAAATTAGGAGCGTGGGCTTAAGGAGGAAAGGTAGTGGTGAGAATTTGAAGGAGAAAGAGAGTGGTGGTGATGGTGATGTGGAGAAGGAAGCAGGTAGTGGTGAGTGGGGTGTTGGGAGATTGAGGAGCGGGGGTTTGAGGAAGAGGATGAGTACTGTTGGGGAGGTATTGGCAAGGTCAGTGGCTGCAAAGGTTGGAGATGATGAGATGAAGGAGAGATCAAAGTCAAAGTTGGCAAAAGTTGCAGAGGAGACAATGACACTTGCAGAAATGCAGTTGGAAATGAAGCGAAAGGTGAATCAAGGAAAGGAAAAATTGAATGTAAAAGTGAAGGAGACAGATGTGGGAGAAAAGGAGAAGGAAAAAGATAGACATGAGCTTAAAGAAAATAGAGTTTCAAAGAATGAGAAACAGAAGGCATTGGAGAAGACTAGGGATTTTGAGATTGAGAGTGAAGGACCTTCAAAGACAAGTGGAAATTTGGGGATTATGACACGTGCAATTAAGAAAAAGAGTGTAGATTTGGAATCCAAGACTCAAGAGGGTGGGAAGAAGAAACAAAATGCAGAGCTCACAAAGCAAATGACTTCTAGGAAGAGAGCAAGTCAGGACATTGGGAAGCGCCGTGGTTTAAAGAGTGGGGACATGGAAACTATGGCTGTGGAGGATTCTGATTTCTATGATTTTGATAAAGATAGATCGGAAAGGAATTTTAAGAAAGGGCAAGTGTGGGCTATATATGATGATGATGATGGAATGCCTAGGCATTATGGTTTGATTGAGGAAGTATTTTCAGTACATCCTTTTGAAGTGAAGATGAGTTGGTTGGACTTTCAGAATAATGGGGATGACAGGTTGCTTAGTTGGGAGAAAGTGGGATTTTATGTATCTTGTGGGAGATTTAAAGTTGCTAGGAAGAGTTCCATTAACTCTGTGAATATCTTTTCACACATGGTGGAATGTGAAAGGGCAGCAAAGGAATTTTATAGGATTTATCCAAAGAAGGGTTCAGTTTGGGCTCTTTATAATGAAGCTAAATTAGGTGCAGCAGGAAGAAGCCTTTCAGCTAGAGATAAACACTGCTATAATATAGTTGTGGTTTTAACTACCTACAGTGATATTCATGGATTGAGCATGGCATATCTTGAGAAGGTTGATGGATTCAGGGCAATATTTAAGAGACAGGAGATTGGATGTCAGGCTATTATATGGCTTGAGAAAAATGATATTCGGATGTTTTCACATCAGATTCCTGCACGGAAGCTTTCTGGCGATGATGTCCCTGATCTTTTGAAAGACTGTTGGGAACTTGATCCTGCTTCACTTCCTCCTGACCTTCTTGCTATTGGCAGGGAAAGATGACATGTTTTTCAGAAAGCTAATTTGCTTGCTGTATAGCTTTTGCTTGATTGTTTGGGAGGACCCCTTTTGATGTAAGTTAAGTACCTTGCAGAGGCAGATAATGAATATTTTTAGTTGCTTTATAATTTCTACGAGCACATAATATTCAATGAGTTGATGCAAATATTTCTCACCTCTTGTTTTTTTGATGGGCAGATTGTGAGTAGCCATCCTGGTTTTTACAAACTAGTTAGTTTTCTCTTACCAACTGTTTCATGTTTTTTGATAACTGTTTGATGTGGGTAGAATATTTTGCTTCCTGCACTCATAAAGAAAATTTATGCATTATGTAAATGATATTCTTTTAGGTGTAGAGTGTACTTGATTTTTGCTTCCTGCCTATTAAACTACTTGATAGGTGTTACTTGGAAGTGATAACCAACAAGATAGTGCCTGGTCCATTTCCTACGAATGGATTCCAAAGTTTCCTGCATACCAGCTCTGGTGACTTGCATTTTCAATACTTTTACAATGTGGCAACTTTCTCGACTTTTTAACTGGTTTAGTATTGTAGCTTTGCTTCAATGATGAACATAATTTGTACTTGACAAATCTTATTTTCATGATAGGCAATTATAAGTACTTTTCATGATTGGACTTCATGTTTCAATGATCTGTAAATTGATTACAATCTCAAAGGCAACCATAGAAATCTTACAGGCTATGGTCTCATGGGGCAATATTTTCTTGATGATGATCTTGTTGAATTCATTGTGTATGAGAATTATCAATTTTATCAAAGTTTAATCCTATAGGGCAGTTTTTTTTTCACCACTTGATTGGGTTTGAGTTACCTGATTATTTTTTATCTTTTTTTTTTTTTTGGTAGAAAAAATGTTACAATCTAAAGGTAGGGAAAAGATTATAAATACTAAAATTTGAATTAAGATATGTTAAATGCTCTTTTCTAAGGGTAATCGAATGAATTAATCAGGGTTAAATATGATTAAAATATATTTAAAGAAAGAAAAATGTAATTAATGCATTATTTTTTATTGAAAATTTGTAAAATAATGCATTAAATACAAGTTTTTTTTTCTTTTAAAATAATAATTAAATAATATTTAATGGATAAATTACAATATCTTTTAAAATACAAACTTGAAGATAAAGAAGTCAAAAGAATTCAAGAATGTAATAATATTAAAACTAGTAAAATTACTGCTTAAAAATGGAATTACAAGTAATTTCATAAACCACCAAATTTAATTTTTAACATTATTTCTCTAATTTGATAAAATCTGTACTTATATATATTTATACAAGCAAAGGTAAATTTAAATTATAAAAAAAATTAAAGAAGAATCAAAGCCCATTGAGAAGCTGATTTTGAGATATGTTGGATAAAAAATACTACTCATTAATATTATCGGGTCTGATCGAATGGGTTAACAAATAGTAAAATGCGTTAAAAAAGCCCCATCCATTTGGCCCGGATCTTCGAGTGCACCCACTCGGCCTATAACTTCGTCTCAGTCTGTTCAGTTATCCCCTAAACAGAAGAAAAAAAGAAAAACCGAGAAAAATCAAAGAAATTGAATTCTGTGTCTGTGATTGATCGCCATCGCCATGGATTCGTAAGCTTTTCTCTTTTTATCTTGAAATTAGGGTTTAATTTTTGATCGAAAGTTTTTCTTTATAGAAAACCTAGGGTTTGTTAATGGTGATTATTTGTTTTGGGTCTTTTATAGTTATCGCGATGAGGAAGGAGAGCCGATTATGGACTATGACGACATTCAATCGGACCCCGGTTCGCCTGAGCCACGGCAAGACCTTCTCGATGACGTGGAGGATGACATGGGAGATTGGGGCCAACGAGAACGATCGCAGACGCCGGTTTACGATACCGATAAGGTTGGGAAGCCGAGAAAAAGGCTAGTCAAGAAGGGAGGATCTATGGGAAAAGAGAGTACGGATGCCCCGGAGTTTTTAGATGAGGACGAAGAGGCCAATTTTGGGAGGGAAGGGTCGGAGTCGGATGCGAAGAAGAGGAATAAGAAGGAGAAGAGGCACAAGGAGAAACATTATGGGGGTGGTGGTGAGAAAGGAACTGTTAAAAGGTTGGGGAAGTCAGAGGAAGTGAATGAGATGTGGGAATGGGTTAATCCTGAGGTATTTTCTTTTTCTTTTTTTCCCCCCTCTTTTTAAGTAATTGAATTATTGATTGTTGTTTGATTTGATTCGTGGTTTAGGAGATTTGGGTTTTCATTTTATGGATTTACAATAGCTTCAGTTGCATGAAAAGTGATAAACTATGTTTCCTTGTTTATTTGTTGAAGCCAAGTTCCTAAATTGTTTACTGAAATTTGGAATCAGTGAAATGTTTGTTGGTTTGTTTACATTTAAGCTAAAACGTGGTTATGAAATAAAGCAGAAAAGGAGAAAACAAAATGATTAGTTGCTACCTTTCTTTTTTTAATTATATTTTGTTAGTTTGTGATATTTAATAGTTCTCAGTAAAAATACCTAGATTAGTTTGTGTTTTTTGACTAGTTAAAATTGAGAATTGAACCTTTTCTTTATTGTTGTTGGAAAGCAAAACCTTTTGCGAGCATGCTAAAATGGTTTTTAATTCTTTCAGTTCACAGATTAAAGGACATTATGATCTCCTATTTCAACCACAATATGTTCACAAGGTTAAGAATCATTTTTGAAATATTGGCTTCAGGATTTATCATTATCATTGCTGCTAGTATAGAATGCCTTTTTATTGTTCTTTCAATGGATAAATTAGAAAGCAATTTTATCGGTTCTCATTGATGATTTGGTTTCTCTTCTCTACGATTCTATTTGATTATGTATGAAGTGGCTTACTAAGATATGCTTGTTGATGTAGTTTAATTTCTTCCTTAAAATTTAATAAAATGAGGTCGAAGACTAACCAAGTTTTTTCTTTGTGGAATAGAATGATCAAGAGGGTACCAGGACTATGGATGATGATGACTTCATAGATGACAGTGGCGTCGACCCTGTGGACAGATATGGGAGCGACAATGAAGCAAGGTCGCCTGGTGCTGCCCCTCAGGTTGTCAATCATCTTTGTATGGCTTTCATGTATGTTTGTCTTCATGTTGATAAAGAGTTTTAGGAAACTGGGTTTGCTATGATATTTATAGATTTATGTACTTAGAAATACAAATTCAGTGGTTGCTTAAATGAGATATGAAGAGTTTTTTATAGTTTTTTGGTTCATTTTTATGATCTTTTAGGCAGAGGAAGATGATGAGGATCCGGAGATTAAGGAGTTATTTAAGATGGGTAAAAAAAGGAAGAAGAATGAGAAAAGTCCCGCAGAAATTGCATTGCTAGTCGAGAGTGTCATGGCTGAGCTTGAGGTAACCGCTGAAGAAGATGCAGAGCTTAATAGACAGGGGAAGCCTGCGATTAATAAACTCAAGAAGTTGCCTCTTCTTACTGAGGTTCTCTCAAAGTAAGCTGCTTGCAAAGTTAATATGGTTTCCTTGTATTTATCTAGAAATGATCATTCTCATCTTCTTTTAAATTACTCTTTATGCAGGAAGCAGCTTCAACCAGAATTCTTAGATCATGGAGTTTTAACCTTGTTGAAAAATTGGCTTGAACCCCTTCCCGATGGAAGCTTACCAAATATAAATATCCGTGCAGCTATTTTGCAGATTTTGACTGATGTATAAACTGGCCTTCTTTCTATTTTGGCCTGTGTAATAATGGTCACAGCCCTGACATTCTGTTGTGTGAAAAACTGAAATCTTGTTTTTTTCATGCAGTTTCCAATTGATCTAGAGCAGCATGATAGAAGGGAGCAGCTAAAAAGAAGTGGTCTTGGAAAGGTTAGGAACTTTCATACAGTAACAATTGCATTCAGCTTTGTATTTTGAAGCATCTTGGATTGGTTTTTGATTCTTTTTACACCCAATGGGCAGGTCATTATGTTTTTATCAAAATCTGATGAGGAAACCACTTCCAACAGGAAACTTGCCAAGGATTTGGTTGATAAATGGGTAATGTTCTGGTTTAAGCTCCTGTTCTTTATATTCTCAAAATTTCCCCTATTTCCTTCTTATCTGCTTTGTATCTGTATCAGCAACAGTCATGCCTTGTGGCCTTTATATTTCATTTTTTATTCATTAGTATGTTGCCTATAGGAGTATAGTTTTGATTGCTCAATTTTTAGTGCTTGTGATTTCAATAAAGCCTTCAGCTTATTTTAATCAAATTTTGCCTATTAACTTTATGTTTCTCAGAATGTCTTAAAAGATCTTTTATGTATATCCATGGAACTCTTTTCTGTCCATATGTATTAACTCTTTATATAATTTTGAACATAATGCAGAGTAGACCAATCTTTAATAAGAGCACAAGGTTTGAGGACATGAGAAATGTTGAAGATGATAGGGTTCCCTTGCGAAGGCCATCTGTGAAAAGGTACCCTTTTTAGTCAGTTTTATGCAAAATATGTCATCTTGTTTGCTTGCAATGTTTTTTATGTTTGCATACGTTTTCATATTGTGTTTCTTATTAATTTTTTTTAAACTCTTTTGTAGGCCTGCAAATAGAGCTGCATCAATGGAATCTAGAGATGGTGACTTTGATTTGGATATTTCTCGGTAAGATGTAACCTAACGCTTGATTTGACATGATTATTCTGATTCTATTTGCTCTTGACTATAATTGTTGGTTATAAAATTACAGGGACCACAAGTCTAGTCGGTCATCGTCAGGTCAAAATGCTTCAAGGTCAGAATCTTCTTCAAGGCTGCATGCTTCAAGGCCAGATGCAACACCAATGGATTTTGTTGTGCGTCCCCAGTCTAAGATTGATCCAGATGAAATTAGAGCTCGTGCAAAACAAGTTGTACAAGATCAGCGACGTTTAAAGGTTTCTTTTTCTCTCCGAGTTTCAAATTCTGTTGGTTTATTGTTTGGAAAAGGTTATTTGGTCAATGAAACCAAACGGGATGTTTATCTATATTGTTCCTTTAAGAGTATACCCGCTTAGTACCTCTTTAAATTTACTTCATGGTGGTAGAGAATGATCTATTCTCTCTATATTCTATTCTCTATATTTTCTGAAATCGAATGTTGACCTTTTCATGGCAGATGAATAAGAAGTTGCAGCAGTTGAAAGCACCGAAAAAGAAGCAGCTGCAGGCAACTAAACTTAGTGTTGAGGGTCGTGGTATGCTTAAGTACCTGTAAATGATACCCAAATTGGCATTGGCATGAAAGAAGGATGCACTGTATTTTTCTCTAAAGATAGCTACTTCATGTATCTTGATTCAAATGTTTCTGTTTTTCATCCAACCGGACCAAATTATTGAGAGTCGTTCACCATCCAAAAAAATCTTCATTGGACCATCTTCACATTTCATTATATTTTGACTCGGAAAAATGTGTTCAGTTCAAATAAATATGTTAATGCAATGTCTCGAGTGCCTGCCTAAATGTTAATGAACATGCATGTTAGGCTATTTATTTATTTATTTTTGTTGTCAACCATCTCCTCTTATGACTGATAGCTTGAAAACGGTAACGGCTTCTGCCTCCATGCATAACCGGTCAAACAATCACAAAAGACTATAATTATAGCTCAAATTTAATCAGTCGCTGTAATTCAACCCAAAAACATGGTTTTAAAGTCATTTCATTTACCTATAACAACAACGAATTCCATCATGATCTAGTTGCAAGGAAAATCAATGGCTTGCAAAAAAACCAATGATATTGTATTGTATGATCCTTAGTATAGAATGATCTAGAATTTTATTATGTTTAATAGAGGTACAACTACAATATCTTTCACCAAATAATTATCTTGTGATATTATCTTCTTATGCAGCTCAAATTCAAATGTCAACAGTCTATACATTTTTTTCTAATCGTCTATCAATAAAAACTACTCGGTCATCCATCCATTGGCAAGATGCCTTATCTGCTCTTTTCCCTGAAAAATATTTACTTTTAAGGACCGGAAAAAAAGGAAAGACAATATACAAAATAACATATAGCTCAATAAATGACGAGCTTAACAAGGGGAGAACACTTTTGAGTTTCCAAATTCTGAAGTAAACCTCAAATAACATAGATGCCTTCTTTTCTCTACATGTTGGCCTTCAAATTTCTCCTGGAATGAATGTTGGAATGAACATGAATATGTTTGACACATGTTGGAATTCTCTTCTGAAAAGAATACGGTGGCAAGTGCAGCAAGATAGACATATTGTCCATCAAAATCCCATTTTGGAGGTTGCAAGTAGCACTCGTTCTATTGAAAAATAGCTTGGCTTGGCTTCTGAAATGATTCGAGCAATGGAGTTGATGATGATGATGATGGAAATGGACAATATTTTCCAAATAGGTCCCACACCAGTGTCTGAAGTTAGCTAAATGCTAGCCTATATAAAGAACTTTGACGATCATCTTAATCTTGATAATCTTTTCCGTTTTCTGTTCTTCTGCAGATTCTTTGTGATACTCTTGGAACTAGATGGAAGAGCTGGAAGGGAAGCTGGTATACCAACAAATGTTCTGCCCTTCTTAGAAACCCATTTCAATGGCATATTATTAACTACAATGCCAATATCATTTGAACTATTCAGTTCAACAAGTTGTTTGGTTTGATCAAGCATCTGGCGGGTCCAGGCAACTGACTCATCTAATGCAATTGAGTCATCCATTGGTTTCTTCCAAAGATCCATCAATATCTCTCTAAATGACTGAAAAGACATGGAGGGTTTATAGCCTTCATCAGTTTCACAGATCATGTTGACCTTGATGACATGCTTGCAAATATTTCCTTGCATTGACCATGCACAATCACAGAAAGCAAAGTCTGATCCAGGATTCCAAACTAAATGTGTAATGCTGCTGTCTTTCAAACTTGCTACCTTTGCAAATAGGTGGCCCTTATCATCTAAGGTAACAGCAGAATCAGGAATTTGCAGTGCTCGGTGCCAAGATGTAGATGCAATGTATTCCTCCTTGACATTTTGAAAAGAATCACTTTCATCTGCATACCGATCAAGCCAATACGCTGAATGCAACTCAGTTGTCAGCTTGTGCACTAACCAGTCAACTCTCTGAAGTGCACCAAGATGTGAATCATCAAACAATTTTGTTTTCAGCTTCACATGGTAGGCTTCTATGGCACCAGATGCCTCCTGGCTTGCAAGTGGAAGAGTTCTCATTGTTGAAAGCCACATTTCTGTCAAACAGAAGTAAACAGAAGTGAACAACATCAGTATTAGACATGGAAACCTTCATGGCATTAGCATATTTGTGCATGAGCAATGGTGAGAGAGATCTAACCAATCTTTGGCACCCAAGAGGATTTGAAATAATCCATGAAGGCAGTCTGATCAACAAAATCCTGAATTAGTTCTTCCAAGGCAACTGAAATATTTACACCACCCCAAATGCCATAAGCTACTTCGCCTAGGCGCTTAAAAATTTCTCGCTGAACTTCAATGTTGGAACATTTCTTAACCAAATTCCTCAACCAAGATCTACGAACACGCCAAAGGGCAAATAGGATAGGACAACAAAAAGTATCCCTGATAAAACAGTCAAAACAGGTGTAAGAAAGTGATACACTCAGTTCAAACCAAATTTTAAAGCAAAAATACCCTGCCTTATGGGATCAATCTCCATGGCTGCATCATCAATAACAAAACCATTGGTCTTCCATCCAGGCTCTATGCTCCGAGTTCGATCGACCAAAGCTTTCGTCCATTTAGCCACATCTGCCTTTGCAATGCTGCGGGTAATAATCCATGCAACAGGTAATGCATGGTGTCTCGAATCAAAGACAAGAAGGGTGCACAAAGGGTACTGCATTAAGAACATTAACATGTAATACCAGATGAAATCGCCTTCTTAATGCTCTGAACAAACACAAATCAACAATCAACCAGTTTATTACCTTGAGTCTTTTAATACCAAATGTTGAATCAGCTGCAAGAAGACTACGATGGCCAAAACGAACCATCTGTTGCAACTGCCATTCTGTTTGAATCCCAAGAATGAAAGGATCTGTCTCAGAAGTGTCCTGATAGAAAAATATTGATTTCTTATTGCGTTCAACCCACATACGGATGCTAGCTTGATCATCTAGATCTAACTCGTGGGTAGATCTTTTAATGATCATCCCAAGTTTGCGGACATATTGGGAAGCAAGTGTACTAACTGTTGCATCTGAACCACAGTATCGTTGAATGTACTCAATGTGTTTCTCTAGCACGTTTTCTTCAGGAATGCCCAGATAGATCATAGACATTGTTTGTTGTTGAATCTCATTGGAAATATATGGAATTTTCTTGGCACCAGGGCCAATGGCATCTTTGTCAAGGGGCCCATGGCAAACAAAACCAGACTTGTTTATGTGGCGTCTCTCGTTGTATATAATAAGAGCAAGTGATGGACGAGCATAAAGACGTTTGACAACAAAATGGCACGTGCATCCTCGCATGGATTGAGGTCTAGCAGCCCGATTTCGGGTGTTTAGACGATATTTTCGACTAGGTAATACACCTCCACCTTCCCCATAATTTTCCGGACCAAAGGAACACCAATATCTTCCCATATACAAAGGAAAACATAAAAACAAAATGTTTATTTTCAGGTAGAACTCATTAATGAAAAATTTTTCATATCATCTAGCACTTAAGGAAACATATCAGAGTTTGTGTAATGATAGAATTTATCAAAAGGGAAGAACCCTTACACTAGGAAAGTAGGGAAACTAAAAGAGCACAAAAAGGGAAACATTGTAAAGCAAGATTCATACTTACAGTCTATATTCCAAATATTCATCACTTTTATACTCCTTTAAACTGCCCTTTGATCGTTTCCGTCCCCTCTCAATATGAAATCGTGTTGGGCATTCCACATTGGAGCATTCTCCAATTATAAATTCATCTACTCGAGCATAAGGAATGAGTGCTACATCATCATGGTGCTCAGCTGTGCCAAACTTTTTCCAAGTCAAATCAGCAGAAGAGAACTCCTCCTCTGGTGGATCTTGCACTGGAATATCAAGAATCGATTCAACTATCTCCATCGATAAATTCTGTCAACCTCTAAAATTTACTATTGAGCCAACATGACATTCAGCAGCATACCTGCAAAATTAAGCATAGAGAATACCATGATCAATAGAATGACAAATGATAAAATCTACAAACATAATGCAAGAACCATCTCATAAATTCTTTTTTCTCAATAATATTTTATCTTCACAAAAGAGAAATATTTCACGAAACAGGATCATAACTAATTGTCTAGTCAGCAAATGAAAATTCTTATCTTTGAATATCTCACACTCAACCATTAGATCCCAATAAAGTGTACTTATTTTCTTTGACAGGTCTTAAAACTTCAACTTAATGTAAGAAAGACATTAAAGCTGCAAACTGTGCAACATCAAAACTTTAACTGCTTGCCCGCTCCCATATCATTATCATATCTAGATCAAGTATCAAATACTAATGGGCAAGAATAGGATACATGAAATCTAATTTTTGGTTGTTTTGGACGTAGCACAGATTCATGAAAATATATATTGAACGAAGCTAAATACATCAAAATGATAGACAGTAATAATGACTGAGATTTGAAGATTCACAGTCTTTGCTTCTCTCCCAAACTATTCCAAAACCAAACAAAAAAAACAAATTCAATGAAGAGAGCAATGGAAACTGTTCCAAAACCAAACAAATACAAAAAAAAAAAAATCAACAAAAGAGACCAATCTATTCAACATCAAGATTCATTATTTGAGCACAAAGCACAGACCCCAAACATGACCCAATCAATTACTTTCATTAAAAGGGTAAAGTACCCATTAAAAGGAAATGAATAACACACAATTCGAGTTGCTTGAACTAAAAGAAGATGAAATCAGATACGGTTAGGAAAACCAGAAACAGTTAACCAACCAAATTATACGCAGCTTAACAACGAAATTCGAAATAGTTGAAATGAAAAAAATGAGTCTTGGCCTAAAACATCCAATGTTAGATTAACGATAATGAACCAAAATCATATCCAACTTCACATCAAATCAAAAGCAAAGTTTTTGTCTTTTTCAACGAAGAACTGAGGGAAGGAGTTATATCAAAATATGAAAGCAAAAAAGGTCATAAGCAAGTTTAACAATGATATTTACTCCAACCAAAATCATTGCTTCTAATCAAAAGTTCTTTAGATAAGAAAGAAAGAGTAGCAAAATAATACCTTTGGACCAGAGCCAGACCAGCAAAAACTGGTTTTCATTCCTCTCTGGGTCTAGTCCTGATTTGAGTTTGCAAAATGAAACGGGCAAGTGAATAGATAGAGGATAAGAAAACATAAAATTAATAAAAAGATAGAGATTTTAGAGGGAACGAGGTAGGGTTTTTGGCAAATTTTGAGTAGAAGAAAAGGAGGTAGTAGTACAGTGCTGAGGGAGGCGGTTGGGGTTAGTTTGGGGATGAGAATTAGATATCCTTATACAGGTTTGGGCTACCTGTTTTTAGGGCTTTGCAATTGCTTGTTGCGTTGCTTTTGTCTTTTTACTAACTTTGTCGTCGTCTGTCGAGTGGCCTGTCAGCCACAGGTTATGTTATACCTACAAACGGGCTTTGGTAGGATATTTCTGAGGGTTGTTTTTGATACATTAAGAATTTGTAGTTAATTTTTATTATTTTACCTTGCTAAATATTTGTCAAACAAGTGCAGACCCTGGTTAACATAACTAGGATAAAAAATCACCTTTTTTTTTTCTATTAATTATTTTTACCGTAAAATAATAAAGATTTAATCAGAGTGAATTGTAAGCTTGTAGTTCAAATGCCCTGATAAACATGTCCATCTTCAGAAAAAGAAAAAAAAAAGACAATAATTCCATCAGGTTTGGTTTTCCAACATATTTCACAACTTCTGGTTGTTTTTGTTTTTGTTTTTTTTTCAGATACCAGTAGCAACACAAAATGCTGGGTTCCTGATTAAAGTTCTGATGATCAATAGCCGGCCTTGCCTGCCACACTTAATAGGTTGCCTTTGAATGCCAAGTGGTTAAAACATTATACAGAGAATTTCACACCTTCATCATCAGCTGAAGTTCCCTTAAAAATTGCAAGCTTCCCCTTTTGTTCTAGTAATTTCAAAGCTCGCATTAGAATCGTGCGGTCTATCCCATGAAGCTCTGTGGTAAATCAGAGAGGGAAATTGCAATCAGTAGCATGTAATATTTAGGACATTTTCTCCAAGTCAAGCAAGTTTACATGATTAAATGTGTGAATGGATGCAAATGGATTGTGACTTAGAATCTTTAAGTTTATACACTCTCCTACCATGAGAAACTGAAGGCATATATCAACAAATTGATAATGAATTTGAATGACATAGATTCTTTCAAAATGAATGCGTGCCAGAAGTTAAGGAACTTTGCTTCAGACCAAACAGGAACTTCTGACAAGTTTAAAGAGTACACACGCATACTGCAGTTCTGGAAATAGTTCCCCTCTCTTGCTGTTAAAAAACTAATGGAAACCCTATTACCATCTATAAGGATACAAATAACTTCTATATATTCAGGAACTGCATTTTCATTCCTTTTCAATGGACGCTTGATTTCGAGGAATATGCAGTTGATAGATATACTATATATCTCTCCACAGACCACCACAATCCACAAGTTAGACCCTTTCTTAAAACTATGGAAAGGCAAGGAAAACGAAGAAAAAAGAACTATCTCTAATAGCACTAAAGCATCATGATTCACTAATCTGCTTCATCTAAAGAAATGTATTTTTACCTGTTCCTCGGGATTCAATCCCTGAACGTATCTCCTCAACAGTCATAACACTGTCTTCAAAGCCATTATCTTTCACCTTATAACATACGGAAATACCAGAAAATTATGTTTGGAAGAAGCCATGTAAAATAAATATGACCAGGATAGCAAAAGAACCAGGATTAACTCACAAAATTCAAAATAATGTCAGCCCAATCTTGAATTCGGTGCCAAAGGATAAGGCATCTCCTATGTCCTTTATCCAACCATTCTGCACGTCCTGTTGCATCAGAATAAAAGTTTAAGAGCTTCCAATGAAATTAAGGATGATGAAGTATACAATTGCATTAGTCAAACAGCAGAACCAGCAAAGACCTTCTGAAATCAAGGCTGAGAGGAATGCTTCCCTGGCTTCGTGACTGAGAGTACCTGCATCAGACCATAAAAAAAAAATAAAAAAATAAAAAAAGAGAAATAACAAGCCTTGAAGAAAGTAAAGGCAATCCTAAAATTAAAACAGAAAAATATCTTCATATTTATATTCTACTCATGAAAACCAAGTAGAATAATTTTACTGTAAGGCAAATGCACCATACAGTTTCAGAGATCTAATCAGATGTTTAACCAGAAATTAGAGAAACAGGTCTTACGTTCAATCACAGAATTTGAGAACAAAGGAAATTCTTCCTCAAGACCAATTACAAATATCTTCTGAGTTCTGCAGTAATCCAGAATCAGTTCTTTCCAAAGTTGTACCTGTTTCTCCCGAGTCTCTCTCACTGGCTGCAAACTGCATAAATATGTGAATCTCAATCCCAATTCTTAAAATGATCATGAACAATCAGGGTGAAAAAAATTAACAAGGCCGATGAAAGTAATGAAACTTTTCTAGAGACAAATAACTTTTCAGCTCCACCTCCACGTCATCCTCTGGGACATGTTGAAAGGAAAGAAATATTAAAGGTTAGTTTGGTTTCTTGCTATTTGTCTCCTGTTTTTATTTCATTTTTTATTTTTTGCTTTTCACTTTCTATTGAAAAATGCAAATAGCAAAAGCATGAACCAAACAGACCCTAAGTATATAGAGATGCAATTTACTATCTACACAGGCGAGGAACAATATTTTCCATGAAGTTCTAGAGAGAAGATTGATGCATAAGGTGTTGAAACAAGGAAGAAATATTAAGTATATACAGATATAACTTCATACAAATTTGAAATGCATTCCAGTGATCAAGCTCACTCCGTAGTTGCGTCAAATACCATATATATATATATATATACATATACATATATATATATATATATATATATACACACATACACATATATGTATTTGAAATTAAGCATCCAGCTTACTTCACAGATGAAGATCAACCTTCTTCACAAAGATCTAAAATCATACTATTCTTCATTGCTTAAAAAGAGTGATTAGAAGGAATAATAAGTTGTTCACAGTTCTGCTAGAAAGTGAAATCAAAAGCTGAAAGGAAAAAGAGAGGAGAATACGTGAAGTATGGAGGGTAGTTGAAAAAGTGGGGAAGCTTGAAATCACCCAATTTCTGCATCTCTCTCAGTCTTCCTTTACAGTAGATGCCACATAAAAAACATATCTGTAATTGACAGGAAAAAAAAAAAAGAGGTGAAAAGGGGGTGGGATGTGGGAAAATTTTTAGCAGCAACACATCAACAAAAAAACAAGTCATAACAATACAGGGTTCTCAACCACTTTCAAATCATCAAAAACATCCTCAACTAAAAAGAAATTGCGAAAGTCAACAAACAAAGATAAAAGAAACAAGAAAACGAGAGAAGAACAATAGTGAAATCTGCTAGAGAAATCAAAGATTAGGAGCAAAACTATCAAAGCATGGGAATCGAGTTTTCTTATCAATAGCATTAGATGATTAATAGTATGATGTTTGATGGCGTATTTGGGGCATTAGTTCCGAACAATTAGAGAAAAGAAACATAACAAGGCGTTACAATAGAACAGTTCATTGTGCATTTGGCAACAAACTATATCCAACACCTTTCATGAACCTCATCTTACAAAGATTATTAAACCATGGGCAAAGACCCACCAATATAAAAACGGAATAAACTACTACTGATAAAAAAAACAAAATGAAGCGGATAAAGGAATAAGATCCAATTTTTGTTAGTCAAATAGGGTCCATAAAAGAAAAGAAGCAATCAGATTTGCGTTTGAATTCAAAGAAATTATCATAATTTCAAGTTTCTAACTATCTGGGGTTCTCAAACATCAAATAAGAGAATAATATGAAGAAAATTATACCTGATCGGAGAGATAAAGTTTTCAGCTTTCAAGTCGAAGTTCTTTGATGTTTGCAGCTATTCTTTTCTTCTGTTCTTTTTTCGGCCAGGTTGCTTTCCTCTTCGGTCAAGTTTTTTACTTTGGTTTAAGCTCAGTCATTTTGGACCGTTAGATTTGGTACTTTGATTTTGAACCATTAGATGCAATATCTAAATTGAACTTAAAAAAAAAAAAAAAACCCTTCTTCTTAACTTATTCTTCTCTTCAATAAAAAAATCGTAATTCTTTTCTTCTCAGTTCTTCTCTCACTATCCGGCTCTTCTTATAGGCAGCTGAACAAAGATTGAAAAAACACTTCTATTTTCTCTGTGGAAGAGAGATACGTTAAAGGTACGTGATTTGCTTCTCTGATATCTGAATTCCATTTGATTAAAATTGTGAGTTTAATTGTCAAATTGGGATTTTTTTCTTATCTTGAACAGGAATTTGCTCATTTGAGATTTGGGTTCTCTTTGTCAACTCTTTAAAATGTTTTGAATCATAATTTGACTTTCTTATTCTATTGAATCAAAAGTTTTGATTATAAAAGTTCCTACTTTCTTTCATTTTCTTTCAATTTCTAGTAGAATTCAAGAGAAAATAACACAAAAAATTCAAAATTCTCAATGTGAAGCTTTGAATCTGCCTTGCTTTCAAAAAGTTTAGCTTTTATCAAAAGAAATAACAATGTGCCAGGGTGGTTCCCTGAACAGAGCGAACTTCCTTGTTTTTTAGAACCTCTTGACTCAGGATTCAAAAAGGGATTGATCTTTGAATCTGGGTTTTGCGTTTTTCTAGGGTTTGATATCCCGTAGAACTTGAAATTCAGGCGATGGCCGGGATGGAACAGTGGAAGGGTCAATTAGAGCAATTGAAGAGACAACTGGAGCCGTGGAAGGACCAATTAGAGCAGTTGAAGAGTCAATTGGAGCCGTGGAAGAATCAATTGGAGCAGTGGTTGCATCAAGCAATTGAGTATTTGAATCAAATACCCCCAATTCAACTATATGCTGCTATTGCTGTCTTGCTCATTTCTACCCTCTTGCTTTTGTTCAGTAAGTCCACATTACGTTATAAATATTAATCATGTTAGTAAAAATATCCTTTATTATTATTTCTTGAAGAATTATTTAGTTGTATTTCTTTAGTTTTCAGATTTTGTTTATCTTGGTTATATGCATTTTAGAATCTGAAATGTCATTCGTTTAAAATAGAATAAGTAGTAATTAAGATCATTTTTATTGAAAAAATATATATTTTTATATTTTATGTGTGAAACTGTTTTGCTTTTTTGAAGTTAATAATTGATTTAACTAAATGAATGGTCGTTCAATTTGGTCAGTTGCTCAAAGCATAAGCATTTAGATTGAATATAAAATTACAAGGTTTTGTCTTGAGGTGACTTACTGTGTTTTTTTAGTTTTATGAATTTCCATTGAGCAAAGATGTTGTACAATCCTATTAGGTTGCAATGGCGACCAGGGCTAGATCTGTATAAAATTTCACATTCTATGAAGTATTTTGTTTTGGGATGCTATTCTGGATGTATTCAGCTTACTTATTGGAGTGTGAACTTTGAGTTATATTCACGTAGCTTTTACTCACTCTTTGTCTCACAGCCCGCTTGTTCAAACGCACAAAACCTAATACCATTGTACTCACTGGCCTTAGTGGGAGTGGAAAAACTGTTCTTTTCTATCAGGTATGCAGAGCTATTATGTTAAGATGTCCTGTTATGGCTGCCAAATATACAATTTATTGAGTAATATGTATTCTGGTGACCTAGGGTTTTAGCATAATTGAAATGCACAGTGATGTAATGTTGTAATAACTTTCTTGAAATGATTCCTGTGACAGCTTCGTGATGGTTCCTCGCACCAGGGTACTGTTACATCCATGGAACCAAATGAGGGCACCTTCGTGCTAAATTCTGAAAGTAATAAGGTAATTCACCTTAAACTGGCTTTCTAAGGTTAGTTTTGCACTTTCTGTTTTGCTACTATGCATCTAATTTCATTCTGTTATCATCAATTTTGACTTTTGGATCATTGTCTTAAATTGAACTGACTCCACACTCTTTCTTCTTTTCTATCTATTCTTGAAAGAAGGGCAAAATCAAGCCTGTCCATCTTGTTGATGTTCCTGGGCATTCTCGTCTGTGGCCCAAACTGGACGAGTTCTTGCCTCAAGCAGCTGGCATTGTGTTCCTCGTTGATTCTTTGGAGTTCTTACCAAACTTGCGTTCAGCTTCAGAGTAAGAATAAGCTATAATAATGCACACACTACACTTGCAAGTCTCTTCCTCCTCCCCCACCCCATTTCTTGATTACCAAAAAGGATTTGGATGGAATATTGCTTCTTTGCAACAGGTACCTGTATGATATTTTGACCAAGGCTGATGTGGTCAAGAAGAAAATCCCAGTTCTCATCTGTTGTAACAAATGCGAGAAAGTGACATCGCATAGCAAGGATTTCATTAAGAAACAAATGGAAAAGGAAATGTATGGCCCCGACTTCATTTGTCTCTACATGTTCTATTTTGCTTAATTATCTTCTTTTGCGACATCCCTGATTATATCATAATCCGCTAGAGATTACTTTCGATAGATAGAAACTTTCAATATATAGAAACTTACGAGATCCTAATTGCATAAGCACATGTATATGTCCATTCTCCCTAATTTATATGGAGCTTATTGCCTGTTGTATGTGTAATTTATTATTGTACACTTAATCTGTCTGTTTTAACCATTTTATAGTGATAAACTGCGGGCATCAAGAAGTGCAATATCGGCAGCTGACATTTCAAATGACTTCACTCTGGGGGTTCCTGGAGAAGCATTTGCATTCTCTCAGTGTAGAAACAAAGTTACCACTGCTGAATCTTCTGGTTTGATTGGCGAAGTAGCTCCTGTAGAACAGTTTATAAGGGAATGTGTAAAGCCCTAGGCTAAATCATCCTGCTTTCTTTGTCCCTGTAAAACTCTGTTTACAGCTGGTTTTATTATTTCATCTTGAACGTTGAACGAGCCTAGGAAAAACATTGAATTAGTAAGACAAAGAGGAAAAACATTGTTTGTGATGTGAATTATGATAATGAAAATGGGGTATTCTAGTATTTTTCAACTATAAAAAAAACTCAAAGAATGTAACAAAATTTTTTTTTTACAAATTTATTATAATTAAAAAAAATTACATGAACCATCTCCTGTTCTAAAAAAAAATTTCAACAGGATTATAATTAATTTTTAAGAAAACTATTAAAAAACTTTGCTCATTGTTCACATTAAGTTTTACTAAATTCTCTAGACATAAAAAATAATCATTCTTATTTTTTGGCCTAACTGAGAAATAATACTCGTATTTTAGTCCAACTTGCTAGGCGGAAGGGATTAAGCTGTTTCGAAAAAAAAAAGAAAAATCTAATATTTGCATGCGTGGGTAGGTGAGGGGGGCCCACTGGACATGGTTCTCGGTTCTTAACGTCAAATAAATACAAACATTTGAATGTGCCGTGCTTGACTGCTGAGTTGCTCCCTCGTGTCTTCTTTACTGATTACTGAGTTACCGAATCTCTTATCAAAGTCGAGCTTCCCTTATCACTTCCAATCTCCCTCTATAAAAATCTCCTTCCTTTCAGCACTTTAAACTTTGTTTCACTCTTTTTTTCATTATTTAAATACCCAGTTTTCAACCCCCAAATCCCAAGCTTCGACGGCGATGGAAGTGTAAGTTTAAGTTCATCCGACCAAAACTTCATTAATTTGGTTTTATTTTTGTATATCAGCAAGAATTATGAAAAGGGTTGTTGTTATTCTTACTTTTGATGATTCCCCTAGTTTAATCATAGTTAATTCTAATTAATTATTGGTAATTTGTAGAGTTGCTTCTGCTCCAGGGAAGGTGTTGCTCACTGGGGGGTACCTAATTTTGGAGAGGCCAAATGCTGGGATTGTTCTGAGTACAAATGCACGTTTTTATGCTATTGTGAAGCCAATTTATGAAGATTTCAAGCCTGAAAGCTGGGCATGGGTAATTTATTCCTCTAATTCCCATGCTTCTATTTAATTTGCTATAGTTGCAATCATTTTCTTCCTTTTAGAAACACCACGAGCTGCTATGAATGATCGTCATGTTTGCATTTGATCGTAAATAAGGAAATCGGACACTGAATTATAAAGTTAACTCTTAAATAAATGAACACTTACCAAAATTCAAAGCCCAATAGTAGTTTTCTTGCTCGCTGTAATCAGCAATTTACTAATGAATGATATTGTAACTTCCACTGGATGAGTTTGTTTTAGTGGTGAAGTAACACTTGGTCTAAATTCTTGTTCTTTGTATTGTCTTTCAGGCATGGACTGATGTCAAACTAACTTCTCCTCAGCTTTCCCGAGAAAGCATGTACAAACTGTCTCTGAAACATTTAACACTTCAGTGTGTATCTTCAAGGCAAGGTTTCAGCTTATGATCAAAGTGTGTTTTTGTCTTCCATACCTGTATTGCATCTTTTTTGTTATGGATGCACATCTAGCATTAAATGAGTTTAAATGACATTGGAGAAAGCTTCACTTATTTCAGTGTAGCATAGTTTTTCCTTATTTCTTTTTTTATTCCAGCAGTTATACCAAATATGAGCCAAATTATTAAAGAAGCAATGGATTGTTTGTTTCACTATTATTTTGGCATATATTTCCAGTGAATCAAGGAACCCTTTTGTAGAAAATGCAATTCAATATGCTGTAGCTGCTGCTCATGCAGTGCTTGACAAGAATAAGAAGGATGCATTAGACAAACTACTCTTACAAGGTAATGTTTGTCACTGCATTTATTTATTTTCTCTTCTTTTTATGGAAACCACAATTTCAGGGATGTAACGTTGGATCTGAATTAGTCATGCAGGTCTTGAAATCACAATCTTAGGTTGCAATGACTTTTACTCATATAGGAATCAGGTATTTTACCTTTTCTATTTAATACTTTCTTTATAGAAATAAAATAAGATTTTTAAATGAGCATTTACTATTTATTTATTATGGCATGTCAATTTTAGTAACCGTTGCCTCTTCATGTATGTAAGTATTGCAATATAAGCTGCTAATGTGTTCTTCTACAGATCGAAGCACGTGGACTTCCTTTGACACCAGAAGCATTGGCTGCTCTACCACCTTTTACATCAATTACTTTCAATGCTGGGGAATCAAATGGAGGAAATTGTAAACCTGAAGTTGCAAAAACTGGATTGGGTTCATCTGCAGCGATGACAACAGCTGCAGTTGCTGCTTTACTTCATTACCTTGGTGTTGTTAACCTTTCCGCCTTCTCTGAAGATCCACACCAACAAAATAAAGATTCCATGGATCTCGATGTCGTACATATGATAGCTCAAAGTGCTCATTGTGTTGCCCAAGGAAAAGTTGGCAGTGGCTTCGATGTGAGTTCTGCAGTCTATGGGAGTCAGCGTTATGTTCGTTTCTCACCAAAAGTGCTTTCTGCTGCCCAGGTCTCTCTCTTTCTCTCTCTCTCTCTCTCTCTCTCTCTCTCTCTCTCTCTCTCTCTCTCAGGTTGGGAGATAAGGAATAATGTGCATCGGTGAAGATCTCAGTACATAAACCTCATTCAATGACTAGAAAAGCAATTCCAAAGCTCTTCTGGGTAATCAGACTGTGGTGTTACACATAAAATTTTTATAATCCTTAAATTTGTGCGACCATTTTTGGCGGACAGCCCTAGGTTGATCTAGTGACATAAATACTAGGTTTATGAGTTAAACATTTAATGCTATTGCAGTGCTGCTTGTGGTTCACCACCTAGGTTGTTTTCTCAATTCTCATGTATAAATTTGTCTGCTTTTTGATAAATTCTATATTTTGTATGGATGCACATAAGTAACTGGACCATTGCCCTTTGAAAAGAAATCGTGGAAACATTTCTCCATAGTATTTAGTTTTTCCTAATAGGTTGCCTTATTTGCTACCTTCTCAACTTTTGACCACTTATTGGACACATTAAGGTCCATATAGCTCAGGATTGGTCCAGGCCTCTTGCCATTAGATTAATTTATCCTCAAACAAGTTTCAGTTACCCTGTTTTTGGTGTTATACCAATTAGGTGGGTAGAATACTTCCGCAAGCATCTTTTTAGACATAAAGAAAAAAAAAAATTAGACTCAAATTTTAGTAACTTCTATTGGGATTCTATGTAAGATCTCTTGTAATGTTGCAGGCTGCAGTGGAAGGAATGTCATTGGAGGAAGTCATTGGCAACATTCTAAATGGAGAATGGGACCATGAGAGAACTGAATTCTCTTTGCCACCATTAATGACACTTGTAAGCATTAGGAGCTTATTTACCACTTAAATTGAAATGCTTTCATGAGCATGCATGGTCTTTCTCCACATGGTTCTGCTGAATTAATTAAATCTTCTCAGCAAATTAGGTCCCCTCTACTTATTCACTTTCCAGACACAGGATCTTACATTTTATGACTTTATGCTCTCTCAAACCTAGCTTTTACTTGCCTTTAGGTGCCAGTGTTTATTTATGAAGAATAAGTTGGGATAAAATCCCTAAATGGTTCTCATACTTCATGTACATGTGCATAGTTATTGAAGTGAAGATGTAGTGATACAATCTTTGTAGATCTGGATGTTGATATGGGCAAAAGGATGATTGGAAACTTAATCTAGAAAATAACAGTGTTCAATTTTATCCATTCTCTTCTTCAACCCCCCCCCCCCCCCCTGCAAAGAAAATCAAAGGTTGCTTGACTATCTTGTTAAAATTTTTTATTACTAAAAATCAAGTATTATATAGTCAGAAAGATTGTTGGCTGTCACAGTTACTAGGAGAACCTGGAACTGGTGGATCATCAACACCATCAATGGTAGGTGCTGTTAAAAAATGGCTGAAGGATGATCCTGAAAAATCCCAAGAAACATGGAGAAAGCTGGCTGAGGCTAATTCAGAACTGGAGACACAACTGAACATGTTAAGCAAATTAGCCAAAGAACATTGGGATGTCTACAAATGTGTGATTGATAGCTGTAGCAGGCTTAAACCAGCAAAGGTATGGTTTTAGACTACTCCCCCTTCAGTCAAGAACTCAATAATAAAATATAATTTCTTAGTGACTTTTTAACTGAAGAAAAATGATTTTTTTGTCCTCCTGGATTGTAAGAATTTTTGCAGAGTGTTGCTGCTGAACTAAGAGCACGAAAAACTATTGAATTTTGTCATTCCCATTATTTTGAGTGGTCTCTTACTCAGGAAAATTCTCTAGTGCTGAAGATAATACTGCTGTACTAATAGCAAGAAAAACTATTGAATCTTTTACACCCATTATTCAGAGTGGTCTCTTGCTCAGGAAGATTCTCTAATGCTTAAGATATTTGGGAGTTTAAATATAGTTACAAATTTTAGAGGGCATTTCCTGATATAGAATTATAAACCTTGGAATGGGTAGCCATGGGTAGTTCCAAGTGTCTGACCTCAATGATTGACCAAGTGGAGATTCTAAAGAAAGATTTAAAACATACTGCATGAATAATTATCAAAATTCAAAGATAAGATACAATTCATTCCATAATTGGAAATTTCATTCTCATGGAAATTTTTGGTCATATCCCTCTGTGTGTGTGTGTTGGTGGCTGGGGAAAGGGCTGTGATGGAAGAGCTCAGTTTTATTGGCTGGATATTTCTAGTTCCTAATCTTGGATACAATATCATTGGTTTCATGTTAGCTTTTCAAAGAAGTGAATTCCTTCCAAGCGTGTCAAGTTATTGCCAATGTTGGTAAGACTACACTTTAGTCTGCAAGGATGTACTGTATAAGCTGTTCAAGAATTGCTTGCTTATTTTTGTTGCAAGGGTAACTCAAATTTTGGTTTCAATTACTTGGCTAATGTGTTTGGTGGATGACTGGACTTGTCAATAATCACGGAAGTCTCTATTCATCTTAAACCTTAAAAAAGATGGTGAGATTGTTTGGTTAATTTGTGTTATCAAATACTAGTTTTCTTGGTTTGTTTGCTTTTACTACCCACTCGATTATGCTCTCTTCCCTTCCAAATGCTGATTTTTAAGATGGTTTCCCAAACCAATTTCATGGACAGTGGATGGAGGGAGTTGCTGAGCCAGTCAAAGATGAACTAGTTAAAGTATTGCTGAAGGCAAGGGAGGCTATGCTTGGGATCAGAAATCACATAAGACAGATGGGACAGGCAGCAGGCATTCCGGTAGGTTATTTTCTCCTTGATTTGATGCTTATAAATGTCCATTTTATGCATGCTTATGTTTTCCAAAGATGTAGAATAAATAGCAAGAGATAAAATAATTTTTATTCTCTTTTAATCTGATTCTATTAAGAGGTTAATACTGTTGACTTGCAAGGCATAATTGATTGATTTACCTTGCTAGATCCTAAATGGACCAGTTTGTTTTTATTTGGGGCACTCAAAAAAACTTGTCCGTGATAGAAAGTCAAAGCCTAATGATTATCAAACTTTTCAACAACACCTGTTAACTGTTTTACTTTTATCAGCCAACTACTAGGGATATGTTCTCTAATGGGTTCCAAAATGTTGTATTATCATTTTTGCATGGTACATTACCTTCCAAGTTCTACTTCCTATAATTTTTTTTTAACTTCTAAACTTGCAGATAGAACCGGAATCACAGACTGAACTTTTGGATGCTACTATGAATATGGAAGGAGTTTTGTTGGCTGGGGTTCCTGGAGCAGGTGGATTTGATGCTATTTTTGCTGTTGCCTTGGGGGATTCTAGCAGCAATGTGGCAAATGCCTGGAGTTCACGCAATGTTCTGGCCTTGTTAGTTAGGGAAGATCCTCAAGGTGTTTCTCTAGAAAGTGGTGATCCCCGAAGCTGGGAAATTACATCTGCAGTTTCTTCAATCCACATCAAGTGAACTTGATTTCTATTTTGTATTTGATGAGTTAGGACTGCCGTTTTAAGATATGGTGGAAAAGGTGTTTTACTAGAGCAATTTTACTGTGTTTTGGATATTGCTTTAATTTGGGAAGGATTTCAAATCAAAAGACAAAGCCTCCCCCTGGGAAGAATCAACTCTTGTACATTTAAGTTCCTTGAGTTCCATACAATAAGAAAAATATGCACTTTACACAATTGGTTAGGGTTCTCCTTGCTTATTTTGCTGGAACAACTACTGAAATTTTGGCAGGAGATCTAGTTATCATCAGGGAGCTCCTTATCCAATGCCAATAATCGGCCCTATAACCCGCCACCTGGTTAACTACAAATCTTGAACAAAATTTGTAGCGGTTGCTTCCGAGGCTGGGTTCACACTTCTCAAAACTCTCCCATTATCTTTCATCCAAATCTAATAAACACTGGATACAAGCTTAACATTCATGATTTTTTTTTCTTGCATCATCACCATGTGAGTTCTGCGGCTATGGCTTCCATGCAATGTTCTTGGCTCCATAGATTAAAACAAAAACTTCTAATTTATATTTGCTTAGACCAATTGTCCTTGTATAGAGTTTAATGTAGAAGGAAATTATATTCCAAGATAAGTCCGGAGCTTAGTTTAGTTAGCTCGTGTAGTCGCTCAAAGGTGACATTTAGCAAATATAGAATTTGTGTTCCAGCATCTACAACCTCTTTTTCTATTCTCAAGCTGTGGACTCCTATATACAACAAAAAAAAGAAAAAAGTATTCCAAGGCAGAGGGAAGAAAATCATGATAATGGAAATTATCAAATCACCAGTAATCCCTACAAGAACAAGTTCCATCTTTAAAATGGTGGAACTGATTACGATCTCTTACGGTAATTTCACGTTCATAGATGATGGATATTAGTTTGGTATACGTATGACAGTCATTGCACATCCTGAGGTTTCTAGTTATTCTTACAGGAGAACCCTGAGATGTATGTATGAGTGCAAATGCAATTGCTAACTTCTGACAATGACCTTTCAATCTTTGTCTTTTCTCTTCTTCATCTACATCAAGCAATACATGTGATGTATCTGGGGAATAACCTTCAAATTTCAACTGCCATTCCATCTGGTGAATCATCTCGTAAACACTTTCACATTGATGATGAGACGTGTCTTGTGAAACAAACTTGTGGATTCTTCTCCCCACCTCAACCAAGCTATATCCTGGCACCTGGTGTAAACCTTTTCTAGCCATTTCCACACGAATTTTAGCAACCTCCTGCCACCTTTGAGCTCGTGCATACATATTTGACAGTATCACATAGTCACCGGGATTTTGTGAGTTCAACTGGAATAGATGCTTAGCTGCAATCTCTGCTATTTCCAAGTTACAATGAACTCTACAAGCACTAAGAAGGCTTCGCCAGACCACATCATTGGGCTTGATAGGCATGCTCTTGATAAACTCAAGAGCTTCATCGATCATCCCAGCTTTTCCCATGAGGTCTACCATGCAACCATAATGCTGAACTGTAGGTTTTATCCCATGCTCAGATTTCAGTCTATCAAAGAATTGGAAGCCCTCATGAATGAGGCCAGCGTGACTGCAAGCACTTAATACACCCACATAGACAACATCATCCGGGTCCAGACCTTCTTCAAGCATCTCTAAGAATATCCTTAGAGCTTCTTCACCATGTCCATGCGTAGCAAGCCCTGAAATTATTACAGTATAGGACATTTGGTTCCTTTTGGCCATCTTTCGAAATACTGATAAACCTTTCTCCAAACACCCGCATTTGACATACATGTCTATCAAGGAAGTTTGTACTATGACATTGAGTTCACTAATGTTCCTCAATAAGGACCCCTGCGTGCACTTCCCCAAATCCAGAGCACCCAAATAAGCGCAAGCAGAGAGCACAGTAACCAGTGTGCTTTCTTCAGGTCTCCAACATCCCTCACTACTCATGTTCCCAAAAATCATCAAACACTCATACCACATTCCCACACTAGCATGTGCTGCAATAATAGCACTCCAAGAAGCAACACTCTTTTCATCCATTTGCTCAAAAACTGCACAAGAATGTTTTATCTCCCCACATTTGCCATACATATTGATCAAGCTGTTTTGAACATAAAGATCATTTTCAAAGCCAAGCTTAAATGCATGCCCATGAATTTGCATTCCTTCCTCTTGTGCCTGTAACCAGGCACATGCCTTGAAAAGAGAAGGATAAGTGAAATTATCGGGCTCAATTCCTCTTTCAAGCATCTCATAATAAAAAAATAAAGCTTCTTCAAAGTTCATGTCTTTGACATGAGCTCTAATCATTGTATTGAAATCAAAAGTACCAGGTTCATCAATTTGTTGAAAAATTGAACAGGCATAATCCATGCTACCCCAATCTGAGAGAGCACATGCAACCACCAGATTGCTTGCACAAAAGGAGTTCCAAAAGAAACCCCACTTGACGATCTGGGCATGAGCCTGCTTGAATTCTTCCAAGTTCTTGCACTTCTTCAGGAGAGATAAGCACTCTTGCTCCTTCAACCTCAAACTTAATTCTGGGCTTTGTGGTGGATCTGCTGGTGGTGAAAAGAATTTGGTTGGCTTAAGGACTGAAGTCCCAGTCATGCTGTTATCTACATCATGATTTACCAATCTAAACTGCCAAATGGAATAACATGAAAACCATAATCTTCTTTTCAACAACAATCAAATTTCCATGTGAAAGAGATATTAAAATTAGTGAAACAAATGATCAAGAAAAAAATTTTGATGATAAAAGGAGATGGGAATATGACAAAAAGTGAAATTTATGACCTTTGGTGTGTTCAAGGAGATTGGCAAAAATTAACAGAATTTGAGATAATGATATGTAGTGATCTCGACTTGAGAAACACAGCTTGCAGTTGGACTGAAATTAGAAAAAAAGTGAAACGAGAATGAATTTGCAGCAACTTTGGAAGTAGTGGGAGAGGAGTTTGTTAAAGGGGTTTGAATATCATCCATGAGATTGAGAAGCGAATCCCCGCCTGGAAAGCAAAGGTCAGATTATGGGACGAGTAGATTCTGGATAGGATAACGTTTGGGAAGAGTTTGGCTTCATTAGACGCCTTCTTCGAGTTTTCAGGGTCTATCATATCTTGCCATCTCAGCACCAGGGACCAAGAAAAACAAGAGCCACAACTCTCAGGCCTAATGGTTAAAGGTATTCAAGGGAACATCAACGTATGATTTCGAATCAGATCCTCTGTTAATTTTATCCTTTTCGTATAAAATATATATATATATATATATATATAAACATGTAAATACGATACTGCCCTGAATTAAATTTATCATCATAGAAGAACAAGTTTGGCCTTACTTAAACTTGGACCAGGAAAACCCAAAAGCCCATAATTGGGTGTTCAAATCACATACATACATAGGCCCTGATTTCTGCCCATTTCTTACTAGAACTAGAATTTAAGATCAGTAAGGCCTGGGCCATGGAAGCCAACTTGACGTACTGGAAACACACTATCAAAGCTTTGCTCTTATCATTGTTCTTTTTTTTTGTTGGGGGCGGGGGGTGTGGAGGTTTAAACTTCAAGGTGATTGTTTAAATTGTAAATAATTCACATCAAACATGACAAGCAGGTTGTTAAAGAGAAAGGCATAGGTTGGTTTGGACTTTGGATGCTGTTGAGACTTGCCAGTACTGTAGCAAGCTTGAGTGAGTGGCAGTACCAAGAGCTGAGCCACATCCCTCCATATTTGGGACCCTTTTGTTGCATTCTGATTTCTGAATTCTCTGCAAGCATTCATGCTCTTGTGCTCATAGCAGGTAGCAGAAATGATTCATTTATTACCATCTTGCATTGCAAGGACTTAGAACTCTGCCATTTCTGTTTTTTGTTTACCAATCGCTATATTCAAGTTAGTAGAATGGATTTCATAGAGAATATATCTATAATCTTTCTAAAGTATCCTAGAAAGCAACAACAGGAATGGGCCATCTATCTTCTCGAAAATCTTTCAAAAATGTCCTTAAAATATTCACCAGTACCTATGAGTTTTGTCCAACATGATTTAAGCATTGAGAATATGGCCACCAGAGGCTCCACATGTACTGACCATTTGACTAAGATTTGTTTCACAAAAATGGGAAACAAAGTGTTTCAAGCGTCTAAATTTCAAGATGGTAGAATTCTCAAAACCCCAACAACTTCATGAAGAATGAGAATGTTAGACACAATATGGCAAGAATAGAAGAAGGATTAATTTAGATACGGCTTTAGGTTAAAGAAAAAGGTTGCAAAACATAAAAACATGAATCGATATACTTGATGAATGGACCGGGTGAAATTGGTGATCAAAGCCAAAGTCAAGAAATGACATACTTTCTCGAGAAAAGAAAAGAAAAAATCTCCCAAAGGCCAAGCCATGTGACAGAGTCTTGTCTGATGGGACTAATTTCAGATCACATTTTTTTCTATAGTCCCCATATTTCATTAATTATTGTATTCTCTCATGTCCCTACTTTTCTATACATTGACTGTGATCTTCTACGTTAATGTTTACTAAATTTTTTTTATTTTTAAATTTAAAGTATATAAATTATTTAATTTTTTAAATCATAATAAAATATATCGTATTTAATAATTTAAGATAAATTATTATAAATTATGTATTCGATATGATTATAATAAGTGATCATTGATAAAATTTGAATTCAAAATTTTTTTCTCAAAAATAATAAATTTTAATTTTATTATTTTTATTTTTAGAATAAAATATTTAATTTTATAATATACTATTGATAAAGAGTTTGCTGACGATGGAATCTAATTGATTAACTTTGGACCAAGTGGGCTATCCAATTTTTGCTGGTCAACTCAAAATAAATAAATTCATTTATTTAATTAAATATATTTTTATAATATAAAATAAAAAAGGCCTGATCCGGATTGAGACTTGTCCCAACAAGGACTAGCCTGGCCTATATACAAATCCAGTACAAATTGAAATAGATCTTTGTTCTGGCCCATACCTGATCTACATTTTCACGCCCAACAAAAGCAACAGACAAGAGGAGTAGTCTCACACTCCTTAAAAGAGCGTGAAATAACAGCTTGAGGAAAAATAAATATCTTGGTCTTGCGGCTCGACATCATTTCCGCCACAATCGCCAACAATCTGAGAGTGAACGTCACCCACACACGAACTCACTCACCCTCAGTAACTCAACAACATAAAACTGCTCCTAAAGCTTATCCTTATATTTATATCATATAAAATATTAAAATTTATATATTAAAATTATATTTTGTATAAAATTATATTTATAATTTATATAAATATAAAAACATAAAATATATTTTTTAATTTTATTAAATTTAAATATAATAATTATTAAAATTTTAAATTATATTATTTTTATATTTTATATTAGTATTATATTAGTATCATATTGATATATCGTGTTTAAGATTCTCACGCTCACCACTGCTACCGTTGAAGTAAAAATAAACAAACAAAATAAAAAAGCCGGGCCCACGCTTCTCTCTCTCTTTGCCTGTAGTTTTCTCTTTACGTTTCATCGTACCCTCTCTCTCTCTCCAGTTTTGTTTCTTTCTCTCTCTGCAAATGGTGATGTTTTAGGCTGTTTTGCAGATGGGCTGATGGGCTTTTACAAAATTTAATTTTTTCCATCTTTCTTTTGAGTTCTTCAAAGCACAGGAACGAAATAATTCGAAGAAGCTCAGAAAGCAAAGAGTTTTTCTAGTTTTCTTCTTAGTTTTTGAAGCCAGGCTGCTTCCTCTCTGAGATTTACTTTCATTTTTGTCCTTTTCTTTCAGGTATCTTTTCTTTATTAACTTTCTCATATTTTCTTTCTACCTTAGCTTTTAATCTCCTGCCATCACTTCAGAAAGTGGCAAGATTAGCTCGAAAAAGGGTGTTTACCATAATCTTTTTGTTTTGAGCCCTTTTTTCTGTGCTGCATAATCTTGGTTTTTCAGCTCCTAATTTTTTTTTTGGGGGGGGGGGGGTGGTTGTATAACATATTTGTTTGACCCTGCGTTTTTTAATGTTTGGATGGGTATGAATGAGATCTTTTTGTCTGTGTCATGAAGCTTCAGTAGCTAACATGTGACTGCTAAAGTTTTTGACTGTAGACTGATTCAATTTGGTTCTTTTAAGTTTTCTTTTATTTTTGCTATTTTTGCTGAAAAGTATTGCTAGGCCCCCAAATTTTGAATTAGTTCATATTCAGCTTGAAATGTCTATTGTTTGACTATAAATAAATTCAATATTACTACTTTTTTTAAGTTAAAAGATTTCTTTTATTTTTAACATGTATGTCTGTTTGTCTTTGACTACTATCATTTATAAGAATCTCGTATGGTATGGGTAAAAGTCTTCTCTTGGACTTGAAAAACTGGTTTTTCCTTTATTTTCTGTTGTCTGACTGCCAATTGTTTCCATTATATTCTTACCAAAAGAGTAATTGTTTCAGCTGTGTGTGGGCCTATTTTGTTTTTTAAAGCAATGCCAATATGCCGTGCTCGGGTTTTGAACAATTGAATTTGCTTTTATTTCGTTTAATGTGGGTCAAATGATTGATCTTTTCCAATATATCCTTTCAAACATGAAGGCTTTCATAGGTTGACAATTTGCATGTTGAAATCTGGCTGCTTGTTGACTATTTCTGGTTTCATTGTATAGTACGCAACACAAAGGGCCCGAAGAATTCACCGTTCTGGTGATTGCTTTCCGGGTAACTTGAGGCGATTATAACATTGCTAGTTATCTGTCTGGCTATTCTAACAAAGCTGTGAGGATATTAAAGCTCATAACTGGATGTTAAAGAGCATAGTTTGATCAATATGGGTGGTACTTGAGAAGTTGTAGCTTGAGACTCTAGCACTTTGGTATTATATTGGAAGAAATGGAGCAAAAGGAGGGTGAGAGTTGGAAAGAAATGATCAGGAAGATGCTTCCACCAGGTGCCTCTCTTCCAGAAGATTCATCAGGGCTTGATTACTCTATAGCTATGGAGTATAAGGGTCCTCCGGTTGCTTATGAAGTACCTAGAGTTGAGCCTCTTGATGTAAATTCACATGCCATTCCTACTGCAGAACCACTGTCAGAGTCCCAAAGGTCAGTTGCTAATACTGGCCCCCCAGTGATTGAACCGATCCCCTTGCCGGTGTCTTATATTGCTGGTGTCACAAGTCCGCCTAATCAGAGTCCAAGGGTTTCAGCAAGCTCTGCGTCAGTAGTGTCTGTGTTGCAAAACCCTGATTTTTCTTCAGCTTCTCCTTCAGCTTCTCCTGGTTCAGTTTGCAATCCTCCAAGTAATCCTCCTAAACAAGTTGTTAATGAAGTAAAGAGAGTGTCAGTAGTCACATTTAATACCGTTGAAAGGTCAGAGAGGAAAGAAGTGGATTTGGATAAGCCAGTTTCTCCTGAATATGTTGGGGTTTCAAAAGAAAAGAAGAAGAAGAAAAAAAGAGTATGTTATCGTTGTGGTAAGGGAAAATGGGAAACCAAGGAATCTTGCCTGGTGTGTGATGCTAAGTATTGCAGCAATTGTGTGCTTAGGGCAATGGGCTCAATGCCTGAAGGACGGAAATGTGTGACATGCATTCACCAGCCAATTGATGAATCCAAGCGGTTAAGACTAGGTAAACATTCCAGGCTCTTGTCCCGATTACTCAGTCCTTTGGAGGTAAAGCAGTTTATGAAAGCAGAGAAAGAATGTTCTGCTAATCAGCTCAGACCAGAGCAGCTAATTGTGAATGGACATCCCCTGAATCCAGAAGAGATGGCAGAATTACTTGGATGCCCTTTACCTTTGAGGAAGTTGAAGCCTGGTAGATATTGGTATGACAAGGAATCTGGTCTCTGGGGAAAGGTAAGTTTGTATTTGTGATATGCTATTTTATGTTTCACTTGGCTTTGTAATTGAACAAGTAAGAAAAAGAAATATCTAGATGTGGGGACTTGATTTGATGACCTCTTCTTATTATTTGGCAGGAGGGAGAAAAACCAGATAGGATTATTAGTTCAAACTTAAATTTCACAGGGAAACTTAATCCTGATGCAAGCAACGGCAATACTGAAGTCTATATCAATGGCCGGGAAATTACAAAACTTGAATTGAGGGTGCTAAAGGTAACATATATAAAATCTAATATAGCACCTACTATTTACTATTCTTGACCATGGACTTCTTTTCTATTTGATTCCTTGCATTTAGGATTCTCAATCTCATACCCCTATGAAATCAATTTTCTCACCATTTTATACTTTCCTAGAGGAATCTGGTTTAGTATTAGTGGTTTGGGCTTGTGTGAAATATGGATCTCAGCAGAGCTGTTTACTCTCGGTGATCTTACTGTTTGTGTGAAATGTCTGAATTATGCCTTTTCTTTTTGACATCTTAATATGTGTTTAGTCTCAGCATCTGATAAAAATGTGAAGGGGAATAAAATATTATGTCAAAAGCATAACTTCATATTGTATTAACTAATCATTTATGTTACTGTATGATATTTTCAGTTGGCAAATGTGCAGTGTCCACGTGACACTCATTTTTGGGTCTATGATGATGGTCGTTATGAGGAAGAAGGTCAAAATAACATTAGAGGAAACATCTGGGAGAAGGTGTGTAAACTTCCAACAGCCTCAATGGTGTCATGGGTATTATATATGATGTGATGTGAATTTGATTTTTGCTGGACAGGCATCAACTCGTTTTTTCTGTGCCTTGTTCTCTTTGCCTGTGCCCCATGGTCAACCTCAAGGAGCAAGAGAGGAGGCTAGCAATTATACTACTGTTCCAAATTATCTAGAGCAGAAAAGAACCCAGAAGCTTCTTCTACTAGGGCTTCAAGGCTCTGGAACAAGCACTATCTTCAAGCAGGTTTGGCCCTTTACTTTATTGCTAATAAACTATTTTATTCCAACAATTATGCTGTCTGTTTCCATGCCAATTGCTTTAAGAGCATTGAAAATAAAAGTAAAATCACTTCAGAAATTTATTGCCTAGATGGAAGTTGGCAAGAATATCTTGCATGAATATGAAGAATGTCTGCCTTTCCTATCCATTAATAGATGAAGAATATTTAAGGATGTATAGTCTACGGAAACTTTGAATTTGTTGCTTCACATGTGGTTCAAGAATGCTTTCAATGGCATGGGCTGAATGTTTAGTGGGGGATCATATGAATCAACCATTCGTAATTTCCTTTTCCTTCTTGTTCTCTTGGTTTAGGAATGATTGGTCTCATAGTGTATGAATGATCAAGATGTAGGCAAATTCCCTTGTGTGCTTAGGTGATAAAATTCAGTTACTAGCATCTTCTAGAGCTATATCATCTGCCAAATTTAGCATAGAGAACTAGTTGTTACAGTCTTTCATTGCAGTTGATGCCATTTTTCTAATTCTCACTATGCAATATTTAACAGGCAAAATTTTTGTATGGGAATGGGTTTTCCGCAGAAGAACTGCAGGATCTCAAGTTGATGATCCAGAGCAATATGTACCGATATCTTAGCATATTACTGGATGGGCGGGAGCGCTTTGAGGAGGAAGCAATGTCTCGAATGCGAGAACTAGGTTCCATCGATCAAAACTGTGAAGCAGGTAATGTTTGTCAGCATCAAAACTTATTCTGATCTTAAACATAGTTTTGAGCTTTTAAAGTAGAACTTATTACTTCCAAATAGACATATTTTATGGCCTATATATCTCTTTGTGTGCAGATTGCTTTGTTCTGTTTTTCACTAGCTGAGAGGGGAGGAAGAAAAGAGTTTCATACATGTTTTTTTATTGTGTTTGATAGAAATTTTGTACATTATGAGCTTCCTTAGGTATCTCACAGCTGGCAAAAAAGCGAAAAAATTTGTTTAACATCATTGCAATTCTTTCAACATGTAAGCAATTCTTTAATCTTGTTTCAGGTGGGGAGGTGGACTCTGGTGAAACTAACCAGTGCGCCTATTCTATAAACCCAAGGCTAAAGCATTTTTCTGACTGGCTTCTGGACATTATAGCCACTGGAGATTTGGATGCATTTTTCCCTGCAGCAACACGTGAGTATGCTCCATTAGTTGAGGAGTTGTGGAAAGATCCTGCTATACAGCAAACATATAGAAGGAAAGATGAGCTTCACTTTCTTCCAGATGTTGCGGGGTACTTCTTAAGCAGGGTATGTCATCTTATTCTTTATTGCTCTTTCTTTTGTTTACATTTTATATTTGATATGTTGGCTTAATTGTTGCCAAATTTTACTTGGCCATTTGATATTTCAAGTTATTCAACTTGAAGAAGATTGCAAAGCAAAAAAAAAAAAGAAAAGTGAATTCTCAAATTCACAGCAATATCTTGACTGGCTATGTGTTATGCTTTTGTTTCCTTCAGGCTGTTGAGGTGTCAAGCAATGAATATGAACCTTCTAATCGTGACATTCTTTACGCTGAAGGGGTCACCCAAGGGAATGGCTTGGCTTTCATAGAGTTTTCTCTTGATGATCGTAGTCCAATGTCTGAAACCTACACTGACAATTTGGAAGCTGCATCCCAGCCTCTGACCAAGTAATTCTTTCCTGCCATTCTGTCATTGTCATATATGAAAGATTTACACTGTAAATCATGTAGTTATCTACTACTATGTCAATGGGATGCATGTTACTAATTGTCATGTTGGCTTTGGACCCTTATTTAAATTTGGGATCTTCCTTGCATGTGTTATGAAGGTGGTTGGGGGTAGTGGGTGTGTTTGGAAATGAAATATATTTTAAAAAGATGTACTCAATAATGGTCTGCAAGTACAAGCGATTGCATAACATGCTGCAGTATTATACCGGTCTTTGCAATCTTTTTTTTACTATATTGTTCAATACATTCACAGATAAAGTATTACTACTTTTGTTGGCTTCAATGGTTACCATAAATTCGTAATTATTTTCTGAAAGAACAGAAGTTATGGTGAGGAGAACTGGGGACTGGGAGAAAGGATGGGTGCCGAAGCTATCACATAGATGCAGAACCTCTGTTTTTTTTTAAAAAAAAATTCTTTTTTCTGTTTGTAATCATATGAAAAATCATTTCAGAAAATGCATTCTAATCACTATTTTTTTCCCTAGTATTCTTACATATTTCAACCTCAAGGCATTTGAGATTTGATCTTGAGAATCTGTAAGCTGATTTATCATTTTTGCTTTTACAGGTATCAACTTATAAGAGTAAATGCAAAGGGGATGAATGAAGGATGCAAGTGGGTGGATATGTTTGAAGATGTGCGTGTGGTCGTCTTTTGCGTCGCCCTTAGTGATTATGATCAGATGTCAATAACATCATCAGAGAGTAGTGGCAGTGGAGCACTACTTCAGAATAAGATGATGCAGACAAAGGAGCTATTTGAAACAATGATAAGGCACCCTTGCTTTAAGGATACACCTTTTGTGTTGATACTAAACAAGTATGATATCTTTGAGGACAAAGTCAATGGGGTGCCTTTAAGCACTTGTGAGTGGTTCAATGATTTCAGTGCAATGAGGCCTCTCCATAGCCATCAGTCCCTGGCTCAGCAGGCTTACTTTTATGTTGCAATGAAGTTCAAGGATCTTTATGCTTCCCTTACTGGACAAAAACTTTTTGTTGGGCAAGCTAGGGCAAGGGACCACCGGGTGACAATTGATGAAGCATTTAAGTATATAAGGGAGGTTCTCAAGTGGGAAGAGGAGAAAGACGAAAACTACTATGGAGGAGAAGATTCATTTTACAGCACAGATGTTAGCTCCTCACCATTTGTTAGGCAAGAATGACTTGCATTAGGAATTTTACTTTGTATTCTTCCAATATAAAGAAAGTCGTAGAAGTGTTCTGCCTTGTTACTCGAGTCAAATAAGGAAAGCTGTTGTAATTTTTTTTTTGTTTCCAAAATATCAATTTAATGAGATCGGTCAAGTTGTTTGTTTCAGGTTTGATTCTTTGTAACGCATGATTAATCACTGCTTCTCCCTAGACTGCGTTATTGCGTCAGGTGAGATTTTGAAGGATGTCTTTGCGCTTTTCCCAAATGCAACATAACGGGAACCAGAACCAATGATAGATTCATTTCATTAGGGTGTCTCTCGTATTTACCATCCAAAAGCACCTGTTTTGTGTTTTTGGCTGGATGAACGCAGCGAATGTTACTAATAGATGAAACAAGCATCCGGGGCCACTCGTCATTGGAAGAGCTGGTCAAATACCCAGTATATAAATAATCGTATAGTTTGTCCGTAACAGGTTGACCATCATTCTATAAGATTCACCTAACAGGTAAAGTGGTAATTTGAAGTTCAAGAATCCACATGTACCAGTTCGCCTTATATCGCTGGAACTTTTGGTCATCACCAGTATTTGACAGTGCATTGGAAGCCAAACAATATGATTTATGCAGAAACAGATCGATCTGAAATGAAAAAGCACTTTCATCCACAAAAAAGTGGATCATATCTGATTGTATCTAATGAAAATTCCCAATACAAAGTTAAAGAACACATTTAAGAGAAGGTTGCTGTTTTCAATTTTAACTGTATCCCTAGGCATGTCAGTGCCATAGTAGATCCAACAAATGCTGAAAAGTGAAAAGTACACGAGCCGCTCCTTTCGGAAGAATGATTCATGGATCAAGTAATGTCTTTAAAGAAAGAACACAAAGTTGGCTCTACTGCCCACACCAATTACACTTCTCTCTATCCTCATTGCTCACCATTGACTTTCTCTTTTTTCCTTCTTTTAAAAAACGAAATTGTTACAATGGGCAGAAAGGAACTGGAGAAAAAAAATCATGATGCAACAAGATCAGGTGTTTCAGCCTCAATTGATAGCCCAGCAGTGTGAACTTTGCCCACCCAATTATCCAACCGGTCACGCAAGGATTTGATCTGTGGAATTCCCAAAACTCTCGGCTGTACCCAGGATACATGAACTGTTCCCTCAACTTGATCAATTATGCCCTCAATCAGATGAACCTGTAGTAGTGATTCATATAAAAGTCATACAAGTTATCTTTAGGATTTTTAACTTTCTAATGTATACAATGATGCAAAAGCCCATATGAGAAGGAAATGGAGAGAGTGGATTTCTATAAGTTCACTATTATCTTTTTCCTTTTTCATAATCTAAAGGCCTGAAAATTGTTTAATATTTTTATTGTGTCCCCGAATAATTTGTATTTCCATAGTTTATATACAAAAATTTGGAGATTAGGTAAGAATTCTGCAATCTTATTTCCCACAAGGTTTCACAAAAAAAATTAAGAAGGAAAAATGTGTAAAAACAGAAAAGACTAAACAAATCTTGTGAATGCTTTAACTTACAGACAGACTCTTCATGAGAAGATGCTCAACATCCTCAATTGACAGTTTTGTTCGCTCAGCAATAACTTTTAATGGAATAGTTCGATCTTCGGATGGGCGGCTGCATGGAAACATATTATAGTTTAGTTTTTAACTACACATACAGATATCAGCAACTTACCCTGACCTGATCCATTTGAAGAAACTGCAAACAGACACACCTGAAGATAATCTCCATTAAGCATAGAATATTAATTTTTTCCAAGAGCTTCTTCTCATTCTCAACCAAGGCTGGTTGAGCCCTCAACGCAGCGTTGTGCACACGACACAATTCTTGATAGCGAACCAAGTCCCCTGAGTTGAAGGCTTGGAGGATATAATAAAGCCACTCAACCCTGGTCCCCAGAAGACTCTTTATCTGTAAAAGATGCAAAGGATGTCATCATCTCAAATATAACAAAAGTAAAGACATTAAAGCAACAATATATACTTTTGGATGGAATAAAAAATGATATTCAGAAGGAACAAAAGCTATAACACTAGAGTCATCTTTCTCATCAAACCTCCAGAATGACAAATAAGCACGGTAGCATGTAACTGCAATAGCATAAAAGAAACTACACAATGAAAAGAACCTCTTATCAGATGGCACTTTTCAATCACTACTTAGGCACCCTTGCACCTCCTCATATATCTGACCTCAACATCTCAAACTTGGTCTATCGGCCTTATCTTTGTGAAATTAAAGGCACATGTTATGAATTGGTAATTGCACATAATTAAGCAGAGAGGAATGTTTCTTATCTGTTTGTTTAAGCAATTTAACATTCGAATCAACATCAAACCAAAGATGTTCACTCATACCAGATTGTCTACTAATAGACAGAACAAATGCTCTATCTAACAAACATTTTGTTTGTAGCATAAGTAAATTTTCAATCCCTTGGAAGCTTTCAGCTTTCAGGTTGAAACATGCTTACAAGTAAATCTATAAAGTTAATCAATTCTACTCATTATTACTCGTATTCGTTCCTTACCTATTGTTCCTACATTGTCTTAATCAAGCACTACATTGATCATCTCCAAAACAGTTTTGATGAGCTCTCTACTGACACCAAAATTATTTGCATTCTTCATTTAACTAAAGCTTGATTAACAGCCAAACTAGATTAGAACTAAAATCAGATTTTAAATGAAAAACCAGCAATATGCCTCAATGAACCATTGTATCAGGCAAATAGTAGTATCAGCCATTAAAGTTAATTTATACATGCTTAACTCATTCATAGCAAACAAGAAGCCTGAATATCATTTGAATTAAGAAACAACTATAATGACATGAAACTGTTTGCCTGTAAAAAAAAAAAAAAAAAAAATTCAGCTGCAACATACAGTGAAATTAAGAAACTTGATAAAGATGTTCTTACAATCGGATGAGCAAGCAGTTCTCCAAAGTTGTAGATGTTATCTCCCAAAAGAGCAGAAAGGGACAGATCAAATGCCAAATCCTATATAAAAAAGGATTAAATTAAAAGGAAATGAAGCCAAAGGATAGATATATCTAACAGCCAATAAAAGCTGTAAATTTTCTTTAGTTTATTTATTTATCCATCTACTTTTGATGACTGAGGTGTAAGGGGAAGTGCAACCTAATTCTTCCACCTGGAAAACAGAATACTTAAGCACATCAGCCATCTCACAATCAGTGTTATCTTCCAAACTGAGGTATATCATTTTTATATAGGCTTTATCATCAATTGTATACCTGGCAACTTGAATCATCCAAGAAATAATAAAATTTTAGGTATTGAAGATAAGAGAAGGGTATGTCGCATGAAAGAAAAGGTTCAAACTAGTAAGACCAGAATTTAGACTTCCAAGGCACTGCTGCCCATTAATTGGTTCATAATACAATTATTGTAGAAAGATAATAATTTCTAAAGGGGACTCTGAAGAACAAGTTTGTAACATCAAAGCTTCATAAATGACTAATACTGATGAGCTACAGTAATATCACAAGATAATACAATTGCACTTGCAGAAAACAGATAAATCTATAAAAACATACCAGCTTAAAAGATTCTGAGAGAGACTCCACTGATGTGTATGCAAGATAAAGCAGAGCACTTTTGTAGAACTCAGCAAATTCCTGGCGAAATTTATGGTATTCAGATGAAACCCAATAATAGCTAGCATATACAGATGGATCTATGTCGGTCATACTGTCAAGGGTACTCTTTCCATCTTCAAGAAGTTTCTTGCACTCCTTTTGCTCACCCTGCTCAAGCTTGAATTTGGCAATTTGCATCTTAATATAAAGAATTGGCTCTTCAATGCGCAGCTCTCTAGTAGCCTGAAGCTTTTCGATCACACCTTCAAGATAATTAATAGCAGCTTCTTTCTCTGAGTACTGCCGAGAAACTATAACAGCAAAATGTGCAAGCTTGAGAAGATTAATCTTGGTCTCAAAGTCAGTGATAAAATTGTGATACAACTGTATCAGTGAATCTCCAGCCTGAAATTTAAGAGAAACAAGCATCACAGGAAGTTGAATGATCTTGCCAACATCTGGCGCATGGGGTACACTTAGTTCATTTGCTACCAAATTTATGTATGTATGAATCCATACAAACATATATATATATATATATATAAAGCCAACTCTTCGAAAATGAAAACCATTAATTAAACCACACTCCAGACTAATTATCCAAACAAGATACACTGAATGACCTAAGAGACCAATAAGAAACCATGCTTGAACTTTCCACATGTACCGAACAAAAACAAGAGGGGTAAAAGAATGTAACATAAGCTTGCTACTAACACTTTCCATTCTACAATTAAGAAAAGAATCCTCCTAAAATAAACATGCCAAGCTTTAGAAGCTAATGTTTCATAATGCAAATGCTTTAGCGAACTGCCATCCTGCATTGCAGCTCATGCAAACCAGAAGATTTCCTCTAGAAGATTTTACAAGTTAACAACAATTGCCATTTCATAACACTCTTCTATGACCAAAAACATTATAATGAACAAATAAAAGGCAAAACCCAACTGAAACTACTTTCTTTAATTATCTTTCAGTTATTGAACATCAAAGCGATAAACATTTTCTTATTTATTTCTTTTCAATATAAAACTAGAAAACAGTAAAGAAAAGAATATGGTAGAGCAGAATTAAAAAAGCTAATAAATCCCCCAAATGAAACCCCAATTCTACAAAAAAAAAAAAAACCCTAATTCCTCAAACTCAATTAAAGACAAAAAATGAGGGAAAAAGAGTAATCAACTCCATTCAGAAACCCTAACTCTCAAAATCTTAAAACCCTAATATAGAAGAGATCTACAAACCCTAAACCCAAACAACAAGGAATAGAGAGAAAAGGGAAAGAGACCTGAAAGACGGTGAGAGCAACGAACTGCTCCAGCTTGAGAGTTAGTTGATGCCAGAGCTTCTTCTGATACAGATCTGCAAGAGAATTGTACCAGTCGGCTAGCTCTGGATGCTCATTTCGAAGAGACTCTAGGTATTGCAAGGCCGCCATCGATCCCGATTTCACTCCACAGAGTAGAAACAAAGAAACAGAACTGAAGCCCAAGAGGTTTTTTTTTTTTATTTTTTCAACTTTGTTTATCCCTCTATTATTATAATAATATATGAATTCTGAAAACGAAAAAAAAAAAAAAAAGCTTTGTTTTCTCTGTCTTGTGCTTAAAGAAAAGAATAACGGAACCCGAGAAAGGCAAAATTATATTCGGGTCGGGTTGTTGTAAGAGTCTGTTTCATAGTGGGCTTTTTTGGACCATTCTTGAAAGCCAGAAAAAGCCCAACAAGATTCAGTCGAACTCCATGGATATTTTTAATTTAGGCCTTTGCTCCCATGGAAAACCCCAAATTGAGTAATTTGGGCTAAACGTCAAAATGGAATTAGGAACCAAACTATGTCGTTTCAACCCCCCATTAAAATTATTCAGCCGACTGAGAAACCACGTGATGGCCATTAATTGCCAACCATGTTGGAGATTGACAATGATCCAAAACATTATTGAGAAGGATGGAAGAGCACGCCCTGGCATTATCAAATACCAATCATCATTTCTCAAACTACCTTTACCTATGCTTTTATTAATTTAGTTGCAAAATTCAGAAGCTCAGTCGTCTTATAAAATCATAGCAACTCTGGATAGTAACCCACCGCACCGGCAAAAAATAAAACCCCAACCATATTAGGTAGTGGAAAGTTGAAATTATTTCCCTTGTGACTTCAAACCAAAGCAAAGGTACGGGTATCGATTAAACTTGGAGTCACGCTATTTGTTCATCAATTTTATCTCAAGTTTTTTATTTTTTTTTCTGACATGATATGTAATCTAACATGTCATAGAATACAAAAGTGATGAGACGAATAGTAATTTTTTTATACTTATGCCTTTGGTTTGAGTTTTCTTTATAAACCCCTCCTTCACTCACTCCCCCCCCCCCCCACCCCAAGAAATTAAGACATGAAAGTTGAAGCCACAATGGTGCAGTTCAAGGCCTTGTTTACATCTCTTCTTCTCCTTTTGCTTTTAATATTTGCGTCATTGACGACAATCCATCCAGCCGCCGCCACTGGAGTTGGTGGACTTGGTCAAGACAATCATGTTGCAAACTCACATCAGATGCAGCAGAGGAAGCAGAGGATGAATCATGGAAGCTTTCGTGGCCCCCGGCAACACCTTCACAGCCCAGCGTTTGAGCACCCACTTCAGCTTCCCAAGCTGCCTATATAGTTAATTTATCTGCTTATGCTTTCCTTTTGTATGTCTTTATATTACTATGGCAGAATTCGTTTGAAATAGCTGAACCCAACTGTTGAAAGAGTCACTAGTTTCCAACTAGGCCAAGCTATATCTAAGATGTTTATCTCCTTAATAATATCTATGGTGATAATTGAGTAAACTGGTGTTCCAGATGTTTTCAATTCAGGGTTGGTGAATTCATCGAAAGAACCACTGATTACTTGCTTTTGAAGAATATATAGACGAATGAAAATGTAATTGGCTGATATTTTTCTCTCCTTTTTTTTGTCCTTTGGTTTGGTAATTGGTGATTAGTGGTGGGTGGTGTGTTGTAGTAAAGCAAGGCTTGAAAATTCAGAAAACCAAGAAAAGGGATAAGCTCCCCATTCCAGTGAAAATCATGGAATGGCTTGCGACGAACTCAAAGTACGATACCCGTCAGGAAAAAGCTCTCATCAGATACCTTCCTGACAACGATGTCTCTAAAGAAGAAAAAGAAAAAAACACAGTGGGGGTTGAGAAACTGACTTTATTAACTTTAATAAAGCAAATACATAAATGTGTGCAAGGAAGAGACAGAGAGAAGAGAACCACACAAGGATATACCTAAGCACCTTTAACAATTTCTCATGAACCCAAAAAAGCAGTTGACAAGCATACTCATCCATTGCAAGCGTAAAATTGGATGCCATGGAACCTAACTGAGTCATGACAATCTCCATGTCTTCAAGCCTCGAATTAAGTACTGGATTGTGAAAGTGGAAACAAAAGACTACCCGATTCAAATAATTGGTTACCACACTTGCAGTCAGTCCTTATGCGATAAAGTCCCAGGAAAGGTGTAAAAACAAATGAAACAAATACAAATGGGGTGAAGCTTTTATCTAGGAAAAAAATATGGTAAGAGTAATCACTAGGGTGAGAATTGAATCTTGGATGTGATCTGTTAGATTTACACGTGTGGGAGTAACATTTCCACGATCTATATATTCAACAAAATGGGTGGCAAAAAATAAAATACACTTTGAACTTATATATGCAAATTGTTCCAAGTTAAACTCTAATCAAGATTTGATACCAGGCTTTAGATCCCAGATGCATTACATTCTTCGAGGAGATCTAATAAATTATGTTCTGGGGCACTTAGAGATGGTAAAATCAAGCGATTAGATGTTGGTCGGGGTTTTGTCCCAGTAGCTTCAGATTCACAGGTGCCTCCATCCTCCATAACTGGCAAGTCAGCTCCCCTTCTTACACTGGCTGATACTCGCTCCTTCCAGATTCTTCCATCCCGATGACAGAGGTAATGCAAAGTATATGAATTTTAAATTATAGAAGTTTAATTCTCTGAAAATTAATGACAAGTTCATAAGAAATGGTTTTGAACAATTCCAGAGAACCAACATGGAAAATGAATGACAATGTCAAACTTCATTGGCTTTGAGAACTACATGGTCACTTTATTACATAACCATGAATACTAGAAAATGATAACCTATGAATAATATGAATCTCATTAACTGAAACAAAAGACAACTCTCGAAAGCTTACATTTAGAATTGAAGGTTCAGGTAGTGGGCATTGAATTGGTCGCTCATTGTCCAAAGGCTCAATCGGATGTTCGATTGGCTTAAACTCAACTGCTACTTCAATTCCATGAGCAGTAGCAGTAGCAGCAATAGCTGCACCTACAACATCCGGATTTGGAGGCATAACTTCCCTTTCTTCCTGCACCACAAGTGGCAGCTCATTAGTCATTTGCAACAAGAAGTTAACAACTCAAATCCTATTATAAGAGCAAAAGCAGATACAAACATCAAGGATTAGACATTTAAGCACACTAATGAGAGGAAGAGGAAGAGGGAAAATGATTGAGAGTTGATAATAGTGGTAGTAGGAGATGGGTACTTACTACTCAAACAGAACAAATTTTCATCATCATGGTGGAAAAACAAGAAATTCAAGCAACATAAATTCCTTATGCAATAGCAGACCTTCGTCTAAAAAGGCATTTGAATTCAATATCCAAAGAGCCCAACAACCCAAAAGCATATACCAGGCATCTATAATTTCCTATACTATCAAATAAAACAGATAATTAATCAGGAAATCTGGGTTTAGCTTATATTGGTGATTTCTAGGCTTGAATCATAGTACTGTCTCTTGTATTCATCAAATTAAATACACAATGGCACATGATGACAGAATTCTATCAAGAAATCTTAAAATTAAGGCAACTAAATGACCTATTTGGAGAGAATGTGGTCACAGTTAAAACATATTAATGAAATCTCAAACAAGTATCACAATAAAAGAAATAGCCAGATCACAAAATAAAGGCATGATATATGAAAGTACATCAACGAATTCCAACATAACCAGGAATATGCTTAACCGCTAACTTCTGAACACGAATATTTCGACCAAATCAAAGCATGGGAAAAAAGAAATTAAAAAAAAATCAAAATTAGACCGTATAAATCCAAATAAAAATACCCAACAATGAAAATTCAATGCACTAATCCAAAAAAAAAAAACTAAAAGATTATAAAAAAAAATTTAGATTTACATGTTCCTGATTCCAACCAAATAAACAATTAAACATCTAAAAAAAAACATTAAAAAAAAAAGGAACAGAAAAAGAGTTCTTACAAGAGAACTCTGGGAACGTCGATGGCCAGCCCTGCCAACAGAAAATCTGGAAAAAATGCCAACCATGTTGTTCTTCCCAACAATGGAAACTCTAATTCAGACAAAAGGGTCCTCCGATCTTAGATTCGTTCAAGACAAAAAAATAAAGTCAGCTGAGAACCAGCGTTATTTACTGCAAACACAAATTCTGATGCTACAGCTTCTCTGTCTACAGCTAAGTATAAAAAGAGAGAAATGGAGAGAAGATGATAAGAGTGGGGTTAGGCACTGAGGCTTGGCTTAGTTTTGGATTGTTTTGCGTAACGGGTTTTGTCTGTTTAGATTCTCTGTCCTTTAAAAATAATCTTTACTATTTACTATCGTTTTTAGTGTTTCAATTTTTTACTAAAACATGGAAGCCAGTAGAGGAAAGCTGTTAATGAAGAGAAGAAAAGGACATTTGAGAGAATCCATGTTAAAAGCTGACAAGAAAAAGGCAATTGGCAAGTGGAGTTAGAGCTATTGAGTTCATTGTTGAGTGAGATCACAGCCCCCAAACTTCGCCAAATGGTCAGCAAAATCCGGAGGTTGGTTCCATTGGTTGCGTGGCTTTGAGAGGCAGCAGCATTGCTGTCGAATGTCCAATGTCTATCTAAGCTGTCCCACACACGACCTATCTAAAATGACATCCACGCGCTGTCCCACAAGCTGGAAACTCTAACCACTGATTCATGCGCCGTTTACATGGCTTGAACATCATCTTTTCTTTCTAAAATGATTTTCTCTTTAAATTTATTTTAATAGAGAAGCATAAGTACAGTTTTTGAAGAGGACTGAAAGATTCTTATATTTTGTTTTTTTATGTCTTTCACCATTTTCTTCATTTCTTGCACTCCATAAGAAAAGTACAGAGAATTGGTGTTCATTGAAAAGAGAATTACTAGTAAAAAAAAGAGGAATTTGAAGATATGTACTATCGGAAAGTAAAGAGAAGGTTTCCAAGCCTGGAATAACAATTTACAGAAAGGAAGCATGAAAATTGACTCAAACTAATAAATATTTGTGATATACCCTCAAACGCTCAAACTAAACAACAGTACATTCAGGAAATTTCAAAGTCTTAAAAAAAAGGAAAAACTTAAAAATTAAGCAAAAAACATGACATTGCAACTATGCTTGAACAAGAACTTCATCCTGAAAGTGTGTTATTGTCTTGTGTACTAATAGGAGGCAGCTAGCGGCTTGGATCCACCATTTATGATTGCATGGCTAAAAATGGGAAACACCTGCGGTTACCACCAGAAGCAACAAAGATAGGGTTAGCCGGTTGACTGATATGTTCACAGAAATAACAAAGTCTAAAAACCCCAACCAGTCATTAACTTTAGCACCTACAGACAAGATCTCGTCAAACCAAGAAAGGGCAAAATTATACATAAAGAAGTAGCCAAGTCATAAAAATGAATAGTATGCAGTCAGGATTTTGCATACCACTCATTTATATGCCACATGGGGACACAGTTACTCTTGCATATAATGTCCTAATAATCACAACTTGCATTGCCTTTCAGTCAAATGATCACTAGTTCCTTAACCCAGAAAAAAAAAATCTTTGATGCACATTATAAACAAACATCCTTGCATTAAAAGGTGAAAACAGAGTATTCAGAGAGCCACGCGTGTTTGTAGTTGATAGTAGTAAATTCTTAATCTTCAATGAAACTGTATGAAATATAAACACTTAAGCAGGAATGGGGCCATTGTGTACATTATAAAACAAAACTGAAATATATTCGTTACCCAAAGAAGCAGGATAAACACAATACTGCTAAAGAAACTGTCTTAAAGAGGAGGCTAATGAGAACTTCCTAGTCTAATGTTAATTAGGCAATATTAATACATTACGCAGGAAATAAAAGCTAATTCTAAATTTCTATGCATGGATCAAGTCAACTCAACTCAACTAAGCCTTAATTAACTGAACAAATTAGGGTTGGCTATAGGAATCATTTTTCTTAAACTGCTTGCTTTGGTTTGGACTTACTGAAAGATCTAAAGATGACAAATCTCTTTGTGTTCAATCCATGTCTCTCTTTGCTCTTTCTACTGGAACAAATCAATCCAACTTACCAGAGATTCATATGTCCGAGTTCCTCATGATCAAACCTTCTAGGCTGTCCTCTTAGTTTGTCCTCGATTGGAACCATGTCCAGTTCGTACTTCTGTATGGGATAAGAACAAAAGAACTAACTCAAACAAGATATTTATTTATATTCAAATAATGATAGAAAATAGCAATAGGATACAAGTTAAACAGTAAAGAAGTATTATATGAAGTCAAAAGATGCAGGGGAGCTATGACAAACCAGAAATTACGCATGGCCTATGTGCTTGTTGAGGTCTTTTATCTTCAATTAAATCTCAATTCTTATCAGCTCCAGTGATTTCCTTTCATGCATTTCCAGACCTGAGACTTTTCTCTACATTGGGGCTAACTTTAACATTTTTTATTCCGTTCAGTTTAATCCCGATGCTAGATGCAGTCCAAGCTGGAAGTTCTAAGAGATGCAATGTCTGCAAGTTTGGTAATTCTGAGTTGGGCAGCAGCGCTGGTAAGAAAACAGTTTCAAGCATTGGGCAATAGGATATATGCAAATGCTTGAGCTTGGTTCTACTCATGGGCTGTTCCTTGTCTGCTGAACTTGTGGTTTGCGCCTCCATTTCCTTGTCCGCTGAACTCATGGCTTGTGCCTTCACTTCCTTCTCTGCAGAACTCGTGGTCCGTGCCTGCACTTCGTTGTCTGAAGAACTCTTTGTCTGTGCCTGCGCTTCCTTGTCTGCGGAACTTGTGGTTTGTACTTCTTTGTCTGCGGAACTTGCGGTTTGTACTACCTTGTCTGCGGAACTTGCGGTCTGCACTTCCTTGTTTGCTGAACTCATGGCCTGCGCCTGCACTTCCTTGTCCGCAGGACTAGTTGTTTGTGCTTGCGCTTCCTTGTCTGCGGAACTTGCGGTTTGTACTTCCTTGTCTGCAGAACTCGTGGTTTGTACTTCCTTGTCTGCGGAACTAGTGGTCTGCACTTCCTTGTTTGTTGAACTCATGGTCTGCGCTAGCACTTCCTGTTCTGCGGAACTCGTGGTCTGCACTTCCTTGTCTGCAGAACTAGTTGTCTGTGCCTGCGCTTCCTTGTCTGTGGAACTTGCCGTTTGTACTTCCTTGTCTGCAGTACTCGTGGTTTGTACTTCCTTGTCTGCGGAGCTAGTGGTCTGCACTTCCTTGTTTGCTGAACTCATGGTCTGCGCTAGCCCTTCCTGGTCTGCGGAAATCGTGGTCTGCACTTCCTTGTTTGCTGAACTCCTGGTCTGCACTTTCATTTTTGAGGAGCTCGTATTCTGTACTTGATTGTCTGCTGAACTCGTGGCCTGTATTTTCTTGTCTGCGGAGCCTGTGGTTTGCACTTCCCCGTTGGCTGGAACAACAACAGTCTTTAGTTTATCACAGAATGTAATTCTGAGAGTTTCCAGGTTTTCTGGTATCTGCCCTATTGAGAAAACAGTTTCAAGCGTTGGACAGCAGTCAATGTACAAATGCTTTAGGTTCCCAAAATTCAGGGATTGAATTTTCTTGTCGTGCAAACTCTTCAATTTGAGAAGGTTTGACATCCATAGAATCTCTAGGTTTTGCCACTTCCCAAGACCTGCCTCCACAAAAATGCTCTCCATTTCGTTGCACCTTTCTAACCAACAGCCTTTAATGTTCTTCAAGCTACCGGGCTTCAAATCGGACAAGTTTTTCAAAAAATTATTTTCAACCAATAAGACATACTTGACCTGCTCAAGAACAACCTCAATATCAGTGGGGCAATAATCAAATCCATGGATTTCCAAAGACTGGCCATCTTCTGCCACAGAAGGAAGTTTTCTAATCTTGGAGTAGATATCACGAAAGAGATGCTTACGGCTGTCACCGTAATTGTCCTCATCTTTGCTTTGTGAGTGAACAGCGGAAATAGAATGCATGATACTCTCCAGTAATTTAGAATTTTCCTTCAAACTTTTGAAGAGTTCTGTGCCATGCACAATTATTCTAGATTTCACATCCCCTTCAGGAATATCAGAAGCCTTGGAGATACAACAGCGATCCAACTTTAGCTCCAATGGTAGACACTTGACCTTCTCCCCCTTAAACTCTTCAATCACTCCCTCCGGTAGATAAAGACGCTTTAAATGAGTCGGGTTAATTTTGTCTGGAAGATTTTTCACTTTGGTCCCTGATAGATCAAGCACCTCTAGATGACTCAATGAATTCAGTGATGGCAACTCCTTTAAGCTCGAACAATCTCTTAGCAAAAGCTGCCGTAGATTGCTAAGACTGTCAAGAGTTGGCAAAGAATCAACAGCTTCTTCAGAAAGATCCAGAATCTCAAGTTTCTTCAAAGCTGACAAAGATTGCGTGCCTTCAATTTTAGGTAACTTCAGAGTTTGAAGCTGAGTAAGGTCTTTCAAGGATTCGACATTGAAATTCTTCAAAGAGCTTGTACCACGTAGGTCAAGCTGCTCAAGTTGTAACAGGATCCCAAAGTTTGGAGTTTTTTCTAGTTTGGTGCAGTTCCTTAGAATAAGGGAATGGAGTTTGCTAGGCTCGCAAAGAGATGGTAAGGATGAAATCTGAGTTTCAGAGAGATTGAGTACCTGAAGCCTAGACATTTTCTCAAAGGATTGGTTTATTTTTGACAGAGCTTTACAACCTGAAAGATTAATAATCTCAAGATATGCTAGATCAACCAAGCTTGGCAACTCAGTCAGGCTCTCACAATCCGAGAGATCAAGTTTCACAAGGCGAGTTTGTTTTGTCAACTCTGGAAGGTTTTGAAACGAACAACCCTTTAGAAACAGACGGCGAAGGTTGCGAAGCTCCAAAAGAGATGGAAGACTTCCAACCTTGGTTTTTGAGAGGTTGAGGGACTGAAGGCTAGTCAGATTTTCAAAAAAATTTTCTGGAAACTTTTCCAGACTAGAGGAATCGGAAAGATCTAGAGACTCTAGCTTTTTGAGATCCTCTTCCTTTGGGCTCAGAAGTTTTTCCAGTTTAGAACAACCTTGCACTCTGAGATCAAGGAGGTTTTTGCTAAGGCTGTCAGGTAAAAACCTAATCCCAGTTTTTGATAGATTGAGGACGCTAAGGTTGTCAGTATGATCAAAGCAATCAAAATATATTTCCTTTATCCTAATGGCACCTGAAACATCAAGAACCTTGAGGTTCGGCAGATATTTCATTAGGCGCAGTCCAAATAAACGATCACATCCTCTAGCTAAGAGGATTTTTAGGTTTTCAAGAGTCTGAACAATTGGTAATTTCTCAATTTTGGTTTCAGAAAAATCAATGAATCGAAGACTTTTAAATGACTTGAAACTTTTTTCTTGGATCTTTATCAAAGAGGAGGACCCAGAAAGATCAATTACCTCAAGGTTTTTGAGATTGGCTAGCTTTGGTAGAGATTCCAGGAAAGAACACTTTCTAAGGATGAGCCTGCGTAGTTCAGTCAGGTTGGAGAGACTAGAAGGCAATGACTTGATTTTGAGTGCAGATAGATTAAGGCTTCGAAGTTTGGACATGCATGCAAAGAGTTCTTCTGACATTTCCTCCAAAAAGGGTGAGCCAGATATCTCAAGAACTATTAATTCTTTGAGATTCTCAATGTATTTGATGTCTTTCAACAGATAACAGCCTCTGACCACAAGCACAAGCAGATTCTTCATTTCAGATATGGGTTTGGGGAGCGATGTGAGCCTGGGATAGAAAAGGGCCAGAACTTTGAGTTTCGGCTTTGCTTGAAAGAATGTGTCTGGGGCTTCCCTGCATGGATGGCTTCCATCAATCAGTAGTGAGGAGACTGATTCCCCTTTCTTATCCACACTAACTGTCCTCATCATGCCATCAGCTGGTGCCATCCTTTCAAAAACTTGGCGATTCTCACCCTCAAGCACGGTAGCCAGCCCCAGGTTGGATGTCTCAAATAATTCACGACATCTATGATCCCACAGATTAATCGTTGCTCCTTCCAGAACAATAAGATTGTCCTCTTGCATCTTCAGCATGCCACGATCTATTAGCTCCATCATGATATCGTATCCCTTCTCATAAGCTGTCTTGACTCCAGCAGCAAGATCAAGATGGCCTTCTAGTATCCAGTGAGTGATCAACTCGTTGTACTGAACACCACCATGTTTCCCCAAGAAGTTCCAGCTATGCCAAAAGCAATCAATCACGCAATCGCCTGGCAACATTTCATATGTGAAATGAAGAAGTGGTATCGGATCATCTTTGTCAGCTTGCTTCAGAATGTCAAGGGCTGTATCGAAAGCACGCACCCGTGCTTCGGGACCATCTTCTGCAATGTGATTTAAGGCTGCTGCCAACATGATAATTTGAACAGGCAAAACCTTGCTTCTTTTTTCAATGTCATGGCGAAGTATTTCGAATCCTGGATGCTTGGAAACGTTGTCCCCAACCCTTTTTTTTAAGAAACTCGCTGCCTCAACTCCCGAAAGGGGTTGAATCTCAACCACCGTGATTGATTCCTTATTGCTAAATCCTTCTTCTTCAGGCCTTGTCGTGATCAGAACCCTGATCTTTTTGACATCTTCGAAAGGAAATAAACTTTTCATGATGTAATCATAATCTTCGGGCGTTACCACTCCTTCAGAATCCAACACCAGTAGAAACATGTTTTTTTGTTCATTCTTATCATTAGCCATTTCTCTTCTCTTCTCTTCAAGCTTTTCTGTTACCTTCTGAGGCAGCTGCTTTAAGTTCTCATCGTACTGCTGCTTTTTCTTGTCATCAATATCATCAACATCTTCCCATACACCGCCAATGGTAGGGATGGAAAACTGGCGGGCAATGGAGTGGCGAAGAGAGTCGTCGTCCTTGTGCTTGTCGTTCAGAGATAGCCAAAGAGACATATAGAAGGGCCCTTCTTTACTGACAGCAGACTTGGCTATTTCTCTGGCCAGCCATGTTTTCCCTGTTCCTGCATTCCCAGTGAGGACAACTGCTTCATTATTGCCCTCTTCCAGCATCTTCAATATCTTCCCTGCATCACCCTCGTTTGCTTTTGCTGTCTCTGGTTTCATTTCTAGCGGCATTGAAACAATTATATATAGTTAAGTAGGTAGAATTTTAATGCCATTAATAAAAAAAATAAAGATTTTCTTATAAAATATGAGGAAAAAATCTCTGTTTAATTACCATTACTTACAGGCGAAGTAAAAGTCACATAGAACAAACTTTTGGTAACTACTTACTGGCCACAGTTACCATTATCAACTATCCGACTCTCTTCATTTTCCCAGTCTTTAACTATGTCACCAGGATTAGTTGTTTTAAACAAAATCATAGCAGTAATTTTTATAGACCCCTTCATTAAGATATCCATATATACGGGAAGAAAACACAGGCTTAGTTGATCCAATTGTATATAAGTTTGTGACACATCCACTTTGCCGTTGATATACGGGATTCACATTAAAAAAGAAAGAAAGGAACAAAATTAAAATTACATATTACATGCACTTGTGGTATATAAATTTTTATATATTTATTTTTAAGGATTTGTAAATTTTTTATATATTTAATTTTAAGGGTTTATAAAATTTTATGTTTTTTCATTAAGGATGTGGTATAAAATTAATAATAGATCAAATATAAATTTCAGAATTAACAATCTAGTTGAAATATTAGAAGCATGCCCTATGAAAGAGTACTATCTATGTACATCTAAATTATTTATAAAAAAAACAAAAAAACCCGATTAAGTTTGGTGTTACAAGTCATATGACACTGGATTCAGTTAAATAAATTGATAAAAAATCAAATAAAATTATTATAAAAATTTAAAATTAAGGATGTGCATGCTTATTCATTTTTTTGCTTGTTTTTTTTTTTTTTTTTTTTCAAAATGTAACCTTTTTTAAACTATTATTTTTTTTATGGGTGTGTGAAATTCTAATATACAAAAAGATAACTCGTTAACAAATAGAGTTAAGCAAAACGTCAAATTATAGAAAATAAATAAATTTTTTATACATTTTTCTAATCATTGATGGTGTAATACACAAACTAATGCCTGGGATATTTTATTTTCAAAATCAAATATCTTTCAATATCCTCATTTCTTAATAATATATATTTCTCCCTATAAACACCAATAAATGCATTTTCACTTTCATGTTTTACAGATTTCCCGTTAAAAATAAAACAGAAAATGTTCTTTTAAAACCACATAATAGACCCTAAATCATGCAATTATCAGGCTTGAATTAGTTTTATAGTTTATATATACCTGCAGTTGGAACATCACTCTTTGGCAGCTCTGGTGTTGGAATAGTAGGCTGTGTTCCTTCAGAGCTCTGACCCTCTTTCTTGTCTATCACCAGGAAATTAACGAAACACAACATCAATAACACTTAATTATAATTACAAATTTAAAAAAGGAAAGAAGAAAGAATTCGAATTATAAAACAAGAATAAGGAAGTAATTAGAGATTGTGCAAAAAAAAAAAAAAAATAAGGAAAGAAACTAAGCTTTAAAGATCCACTTTGCCATTGATACACGGGATTCACGTTAATAAGGAAAGAAAGGAACAAAATTAAGTCCATATATTTGATAATCATAATTTTATATAAGAAATGAAAAAAATTTTAAGTGTATATATTTTATATACTGTTAATGTATAGATTTTATAATTATAGATGCATATCATTAATAAAAAAAAAAAAATTTGTGTATTTATTTTTAAAAATTTGTAAATTTTTTCTATATATTTTTTTAAAGGTTAAAAAATTTTATATATTTTTTATTAAGGTTGTGCTATCATATGATTTCTTAATAATGAATAAAATCTAACTGTAGATCAAATATAAATCCCAAAATTAACGATCTAATTAAAAAAATTAGAAGCATGCTCCATAAAAGAGTACCAACCATGTACATCTAAATTATATATAAAAAGACACTGATTAAGTTTGATGTTACTAATCATATGACACAGGATAAGTTGAATAAATTGATAAAAAATCAAATAAAATTATTATAAAATTTTAAAATTAAGGATGTGTATGTTTATTCATTTTTTTACCTTTTTTTTTTTTCAAAATGTAACTTTTTTAAAGCTATTAGTTTTTTATTGGAATCCTAAATTTTAATATATTCTTTTTGTTCTAAAATGTTTGTCATTTATTGATTTTTATGAAATTTAAGAAAAAAGTTTGATTTTAATATATTTAATTTAATTTAATTTTTTTAATAAATTAAAGTTTCATGATTTTTTTATTGTTAAAAAATTAAAAAAATCAAAAAATATAATTTTAAAATATAAAAAATAAGAGTTTTAGATATTCAAAAAAGGAAATAGGACATAATTTTGGGAAATCCCAAAAAAATGGATAAAGAAGATGAGATAGAGGAGATATATAAAAAAAACTCATTAACAAGTAGAATTAAGCAATTAGTTTTGTATAATAATAATAAAAATAAAATTTTAATAGATGCCCAAAAAAATGAAAAGCGCAGGCCATATATATCGTTTATAAATGTGATGGTATAATAAGCAAATTAATGCTTGGGATATTTTATTTTCAAAACTATATATGTTTCAATATCCTAATTTCTTATAATATATATATATATATTTCTATATACATATTTTCAATATATCTATTTCTCCCCTTAATCACCAATAAATGCATTTCTCTATCATGTTTGACCGATTTCCCATTTAAAATTAAAATAAAAAATCTTCTTTGAAAACCACATAATAGGCCCTAAACTATGCAATTATCAGGCTTGAATTAGCTTTATAGTTTATATAATATATATATATATACCTTCGGGATTACACTTTGGCAGCTCTTGTGTCGGAATATTAGGCTGTGTTACTTCAGAGCTCCGACCCTCTTTGTTGTCTATCACCAGGAAATTAATGAGACAAAACATCAATAACGACACTTAATTATAATGATGTATTTAAAAAAGGAAAGAAGAAAGAATTGGAATTATAAAACAACAATAAGAAAGTAATTAGAGATTGTGAAAAAAAAAACCAACCTTGTTCCATAGCTTGAGTTAAATGACAAAAGAAAGCCACAACAGTTCTCACTCTCTCAAATCTCAATGCTCTCAAACACTTATGGTAATTCTCATACTTCTCGCCTTCTAAACCCTACCCCTTTTTATAGCAATGCGGGGCGCAATTTACATCCATGCACGCACACACGTACTTCATACGTAGAAGAGTAAAGGCGAATAAAGTTCCAAGAAACTTGGTCTAGAAACTAAGCTTAAAGAGCCAAAGCCATCAGTCTATTCCCCTTGCATCTTTGTAGGCAGAACAACCCAGAGTGCAAAAAGACACTGAAAGAATGGCCGAGCGAGCAAGAAATCGATGTATTCCCGAGAGCTTGCCTTTCACTTAATCCCATCAGCAAATGATCATCGATTGGCTTCCCTTTAGAATAAGAATTGCTTGTTCCTTTAACCATTTGGATAAAAAGGAAAAAGAAAACGTGTACCTTAACAATTCCTTACTTGAGAAACTCAACTAAATTTGCAGTACTATTCTTGTACCTCCAGCGCTTCTTTTTAAAGAATCACAGCCAAGTATCTCATGCCAGTGAGGAGGCTTTCGTTGCAAAACATGTGTTAGGCTTATAAAAAAAAAAGTTTTTTTTAATAATTTTATGATATTTATCAAATAAATAAATTTTCTAATAATTTTACGTGGTATTTATCAAATAAATAAAAATATTTAAATAAATAAAACAAATTTATATTATTTATCGCATAAAATTAATTTTTTAATAATTTTATGGTATTTATCAAATGAACAAAAATATTTAAAAATTATAAGTTATCCAATATTAATTTTTAATAATTTATATATTATTTAAATATATATCTTTTTATCTTTTAAAATTAATTTACTAATAATTTATGGTGTTTATAAAAAAAATAAAAGTATTAAAAATTTATTAGTTATCCTAAATTGATTTTCTAATAATTTAGATATATATAACTTAAATACATATCTTTTTGTCATTTAAAATTAATTTTTTTATAATTTAGATATTTATCCTTTTTAAATTTAAAAATATCAAATTTAGTTTTACATTAATAGATTTTATAATAATCTTTTATTATTCAAAAAGACAAAATTTAATCTCTTGATAATTTTTATAATATATATCTTTTAAAAATAAATCATTATTTAACATAAATTTTATTTGGTGTTTAGTTCTCTACCTTTGTTTACATCTCCTTTCTTTCATTTATTACAAAATGTAAGTTACATAAGTATTTGATTTTTTCTTTTGTAGGTATTTACAGCAGGTGATTTGTCTTTAATTTTGATTCCTTTTTTAATGTATTACCAAATGTAAAGTTATAATAACTGTAAACATTCCAATTTATTTAGGAATCTACAAGATTAACTTTGATAATTAAAAAATTAAAAAAATAATAAAAATGAAAAAATGAAAAAGGTGTTTGAGTTTGCATAAAATTGAGTTGATAGAATTTGAATTAGATTCAAAGATTGAATCTCAATTACAAGAAGTAATTAGGATTGATCAAAAACTCCTCTGATCAATCCATATAAATAAACGCTGAAACATACAGGAAGCACATACAGAATAGAAAAAAAAAAACACAGAAACACAGAAAGAAAATTAGAAGTAGAAAAGAGAATAAATATATCAAAGACACAGCAAGCAAAAGGAAAAAAATTTTCGAAGTTTTGTTAAAGAGAAGAAAAATTTTTTTGAAAAATTTTCAAATTTCGGTAAAATTTTTTTGTGTTGGTTGAATTTTTCGACAGACTTCCCAGATTTCGGTTAGCTTTCCAGTTTCCAGCAACTACTTTCCAAAAATCGATGAATTTTTCGATGAACTTTTCGACGAACTTTCGACGAACAACCCAAATTTCGATAAGAATTTCTAGAATTCGATTAAATTCAACCAGTGTTCTTGGGTAGGGATGGCAACGGGTTGGGTCGGGGCATGTTTTTGCTCGCCCCGAACCCAACTCGATCCGATAATTTTTTTGTTATTTTTATACCTAAACCTTACCCGACTCGACATTATATAAAATCATATCCGACTCGACCCGACCCAAAATTAATAAAATATTATTTTTAATATAAATATAAATATATATAAATAATTATAAAATTAAATAAATAATTAAAAAACTATTTATATATATTGTCATAACGTCTAGATCCGGGGATCTATCGCTAGACATTGACTTTTAGGGAGTCGCCACCAATCTTTTTTATCTAGGTGCGATTGGCCACCTAAGGAATCTGTCCTTCAAGGGAACACCTAAGTTTAAGGGCCCCTAAAAGAATTGGTTCAGGTCTACTAACCAGAACAGGGTTCGGGAGTTCGATTACGTGTGAGGAAGGTTATAGCACCCTCACAACGCCCATCAAAAGATGGTACCAGCTTGAATTTGTGTTATCCAAAAGCCTTAAAATTTTACCAAGTAATTAATTATTGGAAACTTTTCTCAATTGACTCTAATACTTTTAGCAGAAAATTGAGAAAATTCCCTCACCTCAAGAGTATGCAAGAAAAACTACTGTTTCACTTACAGAGGCTCCGTCGTCGGATTATTTAAAGAAAAAAACAAGATCAAAATTAAGATAGAAAGGAAGGAAAGAATGATTTTTTTTTTTAGGGAAAATTGATACTTTCAACTTTTCCCCAAAAATATTTTTTGGAAATTTCGATTTTCAAGGAAAATTGATACTTTCAACTTTTCCTCAAAAACCCTTTTTTTGAAAATTTATTTCTAAGGAAAATTGATACTTTCAACTTTTCCCCAAAAATACTTTTTTTGGAAATTTATTTTTCTTTTAAGGAAAATTGATACTTTCAACTTTTCCCTAAAAATATTTTTTGGAAATTTATTCTTAAGGAAAATTGATACTTTCAACTTTTCCCTAAAAATATTTTTTTTGGAAATTTATTTCTAAGGAAAATTGATACTTTCAACTTTTCCCCAAAAATATTTTTTGGAAATTTATTTCTAAGGAAAATTGATACTTTCAACTTTTCCCTAAAAATATTTTTTTTTGAAATTTATTTCTGAGGAAAATTGATACTTTCAACTTTTCCCCAAAAATATTTTTTGGAAATTTATTTCTAAGGAAAATTGATACTTTCAACTTTTCCCTAAAAATATTTTTTTTTGAAATTTATTTATGAGGAAAATTGATACTTTCAACTTTTCCCAAAAATATTTTTTGGAAATTTATTTCTAAGGAAAATTGATACTTTCAACTTTTCCCTAAAAATATTTTATTTTGGAAATTTATTTTTCTTTTAAGGAAAATTGATACTTTCAACTTTTCCCCAAAAATATTTTTTTGAAAATTTATTTCTAAGGAAAATTGATACTTTCAACTTTTCCCTAAAAATATATTTTTTTAGAATTTTTTTATTTTTATTTAAAGAAAATAAAATAATAAAAAATAAATAAAAAGACTATTACATAAACCTAATCTAAAAAATAAAAAATAAAATAAACAAATAAACAAAGAAATAAAAAAAAAAAAACCTGGAGCGGCTCGGATCGCGGCTCGGCTCGGCTCGGCTCAAGGAAAAGAAAACGGCTCGGGGGAGCGGCTTGGCGGCTTGGCTCGGCTCGGCTCGGAGGGGGGCGGCACGCGCGGGTCAGAAAGCGGGTCGACGCCCGGGTCGGGTCGGGTTCGGCAAAACGCGCGGATCCTCTGGGTTACTTAAGGCCAAAACGACGTCGTTTTGGGAGGGTATAAAAGGCACCTTCCTCTGTTTTTCGGCAGAACACTCCTCCCTTTTTCGGCAGAACACTCCTCCCCCTCTCTCTCTCTTCTTCCTTTTTCTCTCCCTTCTCTCTAGAAACTGAAGAACACCGGTGCCGGATTCTGGAAATTTTCGTCGGAATCTGGAAATTTCGTCGGAAGTTGGCCGGAAGATCGCCGGTTTCTGGGATTCTTCGTCGGAAACTGGACTGGTCGCCGGAAACTTCAATGTTCGCCGGAATTGTTGCCGGAAAATTTAAATTTCGCCGAAATTTTCGTCGGATTCTGGAAATTTCCAAAAAAAATTTTAGCCAAAAAATCTCTAAAAATTTTTTCTCACTCCCAGAACACTCCTAAACTTTTCCTAGCTTCCTATACGCCTCCTTTTCTCTCAAATCAGTAGCTTTGCTTACTGTTTTCTGTCTGTGTTTTGCTTTCTGTTCCAGAGTCCCTTTTATAGGGATTGATCAGGAGTTCCTGATCAATCCCAATTCCTCTTTGGACGGGAATTCAGTCTTTGAATCCAACTGGACTCTTCTGATTGAATTCCCCTCCAGAGTGGGATTCTTCAACTTTGAATCTTAGTCATCCAGAATTAAAATCAAAATAAATAAAAAAAATACTAGATAATCAAAAGATATGATAGTATAAAAATAAAAAAATAATATCAGATAATTCGGAAAAAAAATCAGATAAAATTAACAGATAATAAAAAAAATAACATAAGATAAACCCAAAAATATATTACAAAAAAAAAAAAGATAATAATAATAATAAATATATAACTATATACATACAATACATATAAATCTAATCTAAATAAAAATAAATACACAAAGATATACATAATAATAATAATAATGAAATACATAAAATACAAAAGAAGAAAAAGAAAAGAGAAAAAAAATACAGGATTGAAATGGGCCTTATCCCTTTGGGCCAGGCCCAATTGATCTGGGCCCGGACCCAATTGGGTGTCTATAGCTGCCCCTCTTTGCACATTTTCTGTGAAACAGAAATTGCGCAAAGACGTAGACACCCAATCAAGACTCAACTCAACATTTTTATTTTTTGATTTTTTTTTTAAAAAAAATTTTGTTTTTTGTTTTTTGTTTTTTGTTTTTTTTTTTTTTTGTTTTTTTTGTTTTGTTTTTTTTTGTTTTTTTTTTTTTTTTTTTTGCCGAAGTTCCTCTAAACAGAGGCACCACGACTTTGAAAAAATAAATTGCTCCTCTCAACAGAGGCACCACGACTTTGAAAAGTAAATTGCTCCTCTAAACAGAGGCAACGGAACTTTGAAAAATAAATTGCTCCTCTAAACAGAGGCAACGAACTTTGAAAAAGTAAATTGCTCCTCTAAACAGAGGCAACGAAACTTTGAAAAATAAATTGCTCCACTAAACAGAGGCAACGGAACTTTGAAAAATAAATTGCTCCTCTAAACAGAGGCAACGAACTTTGAAAAAGTAAATTGCTCCTCTAAACAGAGGCACCACGACTTTTGAAAAGTAAATTGCTCCTCTAAACAGAGGCAACGAACTTTGAAAAGTAAATACTCCTAGACGATCATGTCCGAAGGAGTTGAAAGTTGTGTTTGAAGGGATTTCAGGAGATTATGCCCAAAGGTCTTATAAATCAACCCCGATACCAAGAGACATCCTATTTCAAGGATTAGGAACTTACTTGACAAGTTTCTTCTCAAACTTGCAAAGTCTTTTCATATCTGTCTTTTTCATGTGGGATGTTGGAACACCCCTGCTTCTTGAATTTGTACACTATACTTTCCTGAAAGTAGTGTATGCTATGCAAATGCATATGAATTTTAATGCATGCTATGCAAATGTTGGCCAATTAATTCCTGTTCAATGTATGGTACTCAAGTTTCTCAAGCTCTTTTTTTTTTCTTAGGTGTCAAGCCCTTTGATTCCTCAAGGATCCAATTGCACTGCTCTTCTAAGATCGAACCAGTGTGACTCTTAATTATTTCTTCCATTCATATTCTTCCTATAACAAAAAATCTCTTCCCAAATTCAATGTCCTAATCAGGAGCTGAACATCTCGATTCTGCCTTTATCACTCTCGATTTATTCAATGTAATGTAAAAATCTTTTTATGTTGTTATTCATTCATCAATCATTATTTTCAACTCAGAAAGGGAGAATGCATTTACACATTCCTTCCATGATGGGGTATTAAGAAGAAAGGGATATGAATGGTAGGGAAACAGTCATCAGAAAAAGGAGCAAAGAATGAAATAAAATGTTTCTTTATTAGCAAATGTCGGTAAACTTTGGCCAAGAAAGAATTACAAGGATAGGTATGGGGACAAAGCCCAAAATGAACAATAAGATAATCATGATAACATATCTCAAAGTTTTTTTCTGAAAACTCAACCCTCTGATGTATTTAACAACTTGGAACTCTTCTGAATTTGCTAACCTCCATATCAGCAGACTTTCAGATTCGATGCTGTATCTCTTATCTAAGTCGCCTTTCAGGTTTTTAACTTAGAGAAACCCCCTATGACTCAAACCGCCCCTTTTGGGGTTTTCGCCTGAGTCCTCCTTGTTCACCTTTTTTCATCATTTTCATTTTTTCATTTTTCATTTTTTCATTTTTTCATTTTTTCATTTTTTCATTTTTTCTTTTTTCAAGCATAGTATTTCTTCACAGCATCAGAATTTACAGGATGGGGTAAATCATTTCCATCCATCTCAGTCAGTATCAATGCTCCACCCGAAAAGGCCCGTTTCACACATACGGCCCTTCCCAATTCGGAGTCCATTTTCCTCTACTATCGTGCTAGATTGGGAGAATTCTTTTCAAAACCAACTCTCCTTCTCGAAAACAACGAGGTCGAGTTTTCTTATCATGAGCCATCATCATTCTTCTTTGGTATAGCTGGCCATGGCACAGTGCAGTCAATCTCTTTTCTTCTATGAAATTTAACTGCTCATAACGTTCTCGAATCCATTCAGCCTCTTCTAACTCAACTTCTTTTAAGACTCTCAAAGAGGGGATCTCTACTTTCACTGGTAGTACAGCCTTCATCCCATAAACCAACAAAAATGAGGTTGCCCCAGTAGAGGTACGAACTGACGTTCGATATGCATGCAATGCGAATGGCAACTTCTCATGCCAATCTTTGTAAGTCTCGGTCATTTTTTCCAAAATCCTCTTTATGTTCTTATTGGCTGCCTCAACTTGCCCATTCATT